ATAATTATGATCAGGTAATAGATAATAGTACAATGTTGGAGTAACCTTACAGAATTAACTTGTAATCTTGTAGCATACTGAGAGTATGATAATTCTTCAATAGTTGGTACGTATTGCCAAAGTCCTAGGCACGGATGAGTTATATGCTTACGTTGAAAAATACAAGATTGACTTAGATCCAAGATTTCATGATTTGCTCGGAAGGTATGACTATTCTACTGAAACTAGCTCTGTTGATCGATGATGATATACTCTTGATAGTGTTATTTCAATTTCTTTTTTGTTTCATCTTTAATAAAGGCACTCTAAGAAGAAATGGGAAAGATTTATTCATGGTGAAAATCAACACTTAGTATCTTCCGAAGCAATCGATTTTTTAGATAAGCTATTACGTTATGATCATCAAGAGAGAATCACTGCACGTGAAGCTATGGACCATCCGTACTTTTGTAAGTATTATTATCTTGAATGATAATATTGAGGGATTATAGGTACAGATCTAATAAATGGTTTCCTAAATATATTCATATTGTAGATCCGATTGTTCGAGATGGAATTAAAGTTGGCGCTGCTGCCAGAGCTGAAAAAGCTGCCGTGGCAAATGTATCAGTAGGGCCAACTTCCATTTCTTCGACCATGCTAACAAATACTCCAACCATGACCAACACTTAAGATGTAGCGGATCTGTAAGCCCTTTCGTTCTCTGCAATAAAACAGTATTACAATATTTTATATGGCATACAAGTTCCTTAGAACACAGATTGTAAATGCCGATGGACAAACTAACTGTCAATTTAAGAATTCTGCACTTACATGCTACACTCCAATTTACTGTAAAGTATGTAATGTTGAACATTTCATTTTACTGATGACCTATATTAAGAAAATGTTATTTGACATCTGTTTAATAGAAGGCTTACTCTGTACTGCGTATTGACATATACTGACCATGCCTAAGTCTATGATGACTTTATAGCGACATCGTACTTGGATACCATTGTATCGATATTTTACTATCTACTCATACATTTTGTTATCGATAAGGCTTCCCTTTTCTCTATACCACGAATGTTTAGTAACTACAAATAATTGCGTATGTTATATCTACGGTGCTATTGTAACTTAGAACTGATATATACAATTTAGTGAATAAAAAGTGCTGTAGATCACCTTAGATCTATGCAAAAATCTATTAATATCATATTTTATTCCTTACTCTCTCACAAAATAATGATATTAATTATTTCTCGTAATCATTTGCAGATACATTCTTTAGAAATTTGTTTTTTTGTTTTGTAATTAATTCACTGAATTAACATACTGTAGAATTATTTAAAATGTACGTATTTGTTATAATCTTCAGACTAGCAATAAAACCATTAAGAATAAGTTTGCATGTCATTGTTGATAACCAATATACAGTACAATAACTTAAGCAATTTGTAATATCATCGGTTGGAGCTGATATTATAGGGATATACGCATAAATAGTACACACGCGTATTTACTATACTACACGAGTTTCGAAGAAGTTCACAAAAACATTATACGTCTTAATGCGCTATACGGGATAGCAAACAGTACTGTACTGTACTACCGTAAATTCTCTTATTATGACTACATCAGCTGGTAAATTTCTTATAATTAAATATCAACGATTAATATCCAAATAAAACACTGTTGGTGTTTGTGTGAGGATAAGTATCCTACATTACCATATTCGTACGTTATAGGTGGCCACTTACGAGTACGAATGTTTCAATTTTTGTGAATTAAGCTTTTTTACATCATGCTATACCATCGTCTACTATACATCACACTGATACTTCTTCAAGGACTTGGTGGTATTTATTATTGTTGTCTAAGAAACTCACTTGTATCCTTTATATTGAAATTACCAATAAATCGACAAAATCCTATGTGTAAAGACGTTATGTATTTCAAAATCATCGGCAAAACAAAGATGTAACCGTGGCATAGAACTGAAAAGAAGTCCACTACATCTGTAATCGTATCATTAGCTATCAAGTAGAGATTTAAATTAAAGTTTATTAGCTATGTTCAATTTATGCATAAAAGAAGACTTAAAATCGATCATTTAAAGAATTCTATGTGTACATATGTTCAAATTTTAACTTAACATATTATTACCGTGATCATCGAAATCATAAGTGGCGAAAAATTTATTCATTAATCACATTACTACATTTAATATTAACTGGAGCGAAGAATTAATTGTCATTAAACTGTTTCTATGTCATAAAATAGGCCAATATAACTTTTTAAAGAAAATATATAGTTAACGGCTTGACGCTGTCTGCAACAGGGAAAAACGTACTTTGAATTATAATTAATAGCAATCCGTAGCAATATCTAAAATTGGAAGGATAAGAAATCTTAATAGATCTTAACGAATATGTCGAAGAGTAATATGTTAGAATTATTGTTTTAATATTAAGTTAACTGCTTAAGCTCTATAACAATACAGATTGTCTAAATTTCCGCTAATGTTATGATTAAACAGTAGGATACGCATATACGGTACCCTATAGACTTGCAACGTGGAGTATTAATCATACTATAGACATTTCTACATCTATTTAAAGTCACCTTTAGTATTAAGGTTAACAGCTTGATATCAGATAACCATTTAAGTATGAAAATATGTCTTGCAACTTGCAAACTATGACTAATGATTAATAGTACTATAGTTGCTACACTAATGCATAAATTTTATACAAATATCGTAAACTATAAATGGTAACTCAAATTATCTTTGAAAAGATAATTTCGTGTTTATGTAATCGATTTTGATGTAGTAACGGTATCTTCTAGTTAAAGTATGCAATTCTAGTTAACATGAAACGTTACTATAGATTGTCGGACATTTTGTTGAGATCTGATATTATAAGTTCTTTATTTTATTTTGTATTACCGCTAAGTTAATGGTTAGAACTTAGACAAGATGATATTAGTAGTTAGTAGTATGTCTAATATCGAACATCTAATGTAATTAGTTCAAGTTAGCATAATATAGCAAATGTCCTCTTATTTGTCCAAGTGATTAGAAAAGAATAAATTAGTAGTATCATTGACCAGCATAGCTAAATTGCATTAGTCAGCTACTGAGGACTACAATCTGCCTATAGACACCGTTATCTCAGTAACAATATGGCACTTTGTCCAATTCAATACCTTACTATTCAATAGCAATACCAATTAATTGTTGACATTGCATAATTTCTATATTTAATTGATTGCAAAGTCAATACAGTATGTTCCAAGAATAAAGCTTTAGCACAGCTAATTTATAAGTTATATTATCATTTTAGTCTACCACTAGTATTAGGCGTTGATTAGCTTTACAAAACCGTATGTTGCTTTCTTGTATTTTCTTTCGATTGGTGACAATATAAAAGTAGTCAAGAGTATACTTGTCTTTTCATTAGTACTGGTTATATCTCTTACATTTAACAAAATTGTACACTTTTAGGTTTGACTATTGTCAGTAAAAATTGGTTATTTTATAACGGTATGACGCTATTTAAATTTGAATCATGAAATAATCTAACAGAAGAAGAAATCACTATAGCAAGAAAATTATTCAAGATAAGAAGTTATCGTAACTAATTACAAGTTAAAGTACAGTATTGCAATAAGCCTAATAATAATAACTCTTTAAATTCTACAAGGAACTAATAATGAGTCAGAATAATCTTCCTAAAGTCTTGGTTACTAATGGACTGAGCCATCTAGGTAGTCATATTATCTTACAGCTGTTGCAGAAGGGGTATCAGGTTCGCGGAGCTGTTCGCGATTCGAATGACAAAAATAGTAAAGGTTTGAAAAAGCTGACAGCAAATGCATTTGAAGACTTGGAATTAATTCAGATTGACCCTATAAACGAGGCTAGTTGGTTAGAGTAAGTTTATAAACAAATTGTATTATTCCAAGTAATGATTTGATTTACAATTCTTTAAGCCTATTCACATTAGAAGAATACCATAAGCACAATGTGTAAAATTAGAAAAATATCAAATACAATGATTCATTAGGCATTACTTTACTACAATACCTAATCAAGATCATTTTTATTAACGATTGATTAACACCCGTGTTAGAGTTACTACCTGAAAAGCTCTACGATAGATTTTATGTTTTTGTCGTATCGTATACGTAGAAAATTTGATATAATGGCAGTTATAGAAATTAGAGAATTATGATTATTTGATATTTGATATTTTAAGAATATTCTTCACTTCACTATTAATATGTTCATATTACTAAGATTACTTTTAGTCTTATTTTTTACTTTCTTGTTATGAAATTTATAGGCAATTTATATTGAAATATTACTTACATTTAATTTAGAGCAATTCAAGATTGTATTTATGTTTGCCACATTCCGATGGACAGTATCGGTGTCTCACCTAAAGACGAAGCCAAACTGATAGAAAATGCTGAATTGTTATTACAAGCATGTAGTAGATCGAAGACAGTCCAACGAGTTGTGATAACTAGCTCAGATCAAGCTATAATTGGTAAATTTTCATTTTAATACTGTACAATTAGGAAAAACATATTAATTTAAAATTTATATTCTCTCTTAGATGATATAGCGATAATTTATACTATTACATTAGCTTATATTGGTCCCTAAGGGACTTCCTTCTACTATATTTATGCTCTTGCTTAAAATATGTCTATTTTCTATGTACATAATAATTATATTGTGAACTTGTAAAATTTCTACGAGAGAATTTTCAGTTCTAATTGAATTTTAAGTATTAGATAATAGAATATCATATCATTTTAATCAGAAATGAAACATAAATATATCATTACCTTATAACCTTTCTACATTTTGGATACCATAATAATTGCATCATAAACTTATAACAATTTTACTTGGTCACCTTCAATATAATAATTGTATTTAAGTATTAGTTAGATGTTAGATTAATTATCTATATTCATCTAATCAGAAACAAAAATATATTGAATACCAATACTTTATAGGAAGTTCAATTGTTGATGGTAAAATATACTCGGAAGAGGACTGGTCGGACGAGACCGATCCTAATATTCAGCCTTGTTTAAAATTTAAAATTTTAACTGAAAGAACGGTTTGGGAATTTGCTAAAACGTTAAAAGGTACAACTTGACACCATCAGAATTTGCGTACAGGATAGACTTTAAAGTAAAATTTAAATCTAAAAATAACAATATATTGTCTTGTATTATATCATATAGGCAAGAATAAAATGAAAATTGTAGTAATAAATCCTGGTGATATGTATGGTCCTATTATAACCGGAACAACATGCAGTAATTTGGAGGTACAGAATCGAGTAGTGTCTTTTGTACTCTTTTATAGCTGTCCTCTAATTTTTCTACTAGGTTAATATGTTGCTGATACTTTACTGATGCTACAGTATTTGCAAAACAATATTACCTTTATGTATCAATTATGAACGTAATAGATTTCTATAAATGTATAATTAATCTACGCAAAATTCTGTACCGGGTATTTGATCTTAGCTGCCATATTAACTACTACGAATTTGTTTTCACATTTAATGTAAATAAATTTCGTCGTAAATTAATCATTTCTGTCTGATAGTATCTTTATAACTCAGCAATGAGAATTTAGTAATTTGGTTATATATTTGTTTGATATATGTAGATATATATTTATAGGTTTCATGAGAGTTTAATATACTTATGATTGCAATACTAGCGTAGGTTTATGATTTTATTTAAACAATGCGAATATACACTTTATGTTTTATACTTTTAATTTATAACAGATATATGATACAGTAAGCGTAATTAGTAACAAATTTAATACTTGCAATACTTATAACAAGCATAATATAATGATAAGGCCATATTTATTCTAGCGTTTAGTAAGTACTTTTAAAAATCAAATTATTCTCACTCCTACCATGACTAATACAGATTTAATACTGCACTTCATCCTATTACTATGATAATTATATTTCATATCGATTACTTTCAAGCATGAATAACATACGAGTACTACCTGGCAATTGTTTTTTCTCCATATGTATCATAGATACATTCTGATCCATCCTGAACTTTACTATAACAAATCAGATAATTTCAAGTATTTAATATTCTAGTTTTATTCTAGGACTTCTTAAAAATAATTACTAACTCTCGACTATTACCAAATAAGTATTGCAGTTAATAATAATTTAACATAATAACAGGAACATATCATTTAAAAATATACTTAATGTATGTACCTACAGAGAAAATTTAATGCGCTAGCATATTCATTAATATAAGTTACTTTTTTTAAATTTACCGGGAACATCACAATGTGGAACAGATCGTTAAAAACCTGTTGGAAAAGAAGATTCCTATTGTACCAAAGATATGCCTAAGAATAGTAGATGTTCGTGATGTTGCTGCCCTTCACATTGCAGCAATGACATCTGCAAGAGCTCCAGGTTAACATTACTACAAATATTAAGCTTGTAAATTAATCTTTCATTGCAAAATTTCAATAAGCCTTACGCATGCTTTGCTTTTAAAATTTACTGTTCTTTAATAAGATGTTTTACGTCTTTTATCCATGATTAGCAGTTAAATAGCGCATACTAGTAAGAATTTATACACTTTTTCTTGTTACATTATTAAATTTGTGAATTGCTAGTATTTACGATAATTTTTATCCATTGTTGCAGTATGATATGCTTAAATTATATTTCATCGGCTTTATTAATGAACCTTGTGTGATGCTGTATGGATGTACTCGTATGTTTGATTTTTGTCTTAGTTATTCACTACTTTACAGTAAGTCGTGTTATAAAATTTAGTTCTAATTTAATTTACTTTGATCACTTGTGCATGTTATAGCAATTTATTTTTCTACGGTTTAGGTAATCGATACCTTGCGATATCGGGAAATGTCTGGATTAAAGATATTGCAGGATATCTTGCAGAAGAATTTGAACCACAAGGTTCAGTTTTAAATATCTTTCTCTCAAGCTGTATTACTTCTGAGTTATATACATTCCTTTTATACTCTATATGATTCTATAGTAATTATCATTCACAGCGATTGATACTGGAAATAGTCAATACTATAAAATTTTTAATTGAGCATGTATTATTTTGACTGTAGGCTATAAAGTTACCAAAGACGAAACTCCATTAATTGTAATAAAAGGAGTTGCGTTAGTAAATAAATCGCTTAAGCAAGTCATACCAGCTATCGGAAAAACTGCCATTTTTCAAAACAGTAAAGTGTGTATATTATACTGTTAGTGATAATTTTAAATAAGTAGTCAAGCCATTAGTAAATAATAATCTTAATTTTTTTAATCGTTGTCAAGTTAAGTTGCACAGCAAATATGTTAATGCATTAAAATTTGAATTTTTTGCTACCATGGTGTAGGTTATTAAAGATCTTGGATTAAAATTTAGGCCAGTTGCAGTATCAATTATTGATATGGCATATAGTGCTATTGAGAACGGATTTATTAAAAAGACCTCCAAATATCGTGGAATTCCAAATACGGACTTGAAATCTGCAATCTACATTAATTAATAAAGGCAGAACAGAATAAACATAAACATGATGAAAATTTTGCTATTACCTAATAAGATAGGGAAAGATTATCCACTAGACTTATAATGGGGTGCATTGTCGTTCATGAAAATGACGCCATGACGTTAAAGTAAATTGTAGCACTATCGGCAATGTGCCACTTTAGTTTCTCTAAGCGAAAATAACTAAAGATGGATAATACCGTGTATAACACTAGATACATAGAGTGATATAGTGGCATATTCTAACCTATCTTTATCCATTTTGATTATTTTTTGTTTCACTTTTAAGCCTGTTAAAGCTTTTCATACATTGTCTTCAAACTGGAAAATAAGAAGAGTACGATAACTGAAAGTAAATAAATAGTAAAGTGGAATACCGGAATAACGTTGTTATTATTAACCACTTTTTGTAATTTGGTATGACTGAGCTTAAGATATTTATATTGTACTAATTGCTAACTAAATGTATTAGTGAATTCTATTCTATTATTATATTATTACAGCTAATTCATCCGATTTTTATTATCCACTTTGAAGCAGATGTGATCAGTAGGGTAATTCTTGTCTATTTATAAATTTATCAAAAGTTTAATGCTAATTCAATAAACGAATCAGCTCCATGGATTGATTGTATGAGGATGTTAGTAAAATATCTAGTAATAGATTGTGTTACATATGCCTAATAGCTATAATATGTTGATGACTTGGTATTTTATATACTATTTTATACGGGTATATGATATATGATTATGATGTGCCAATTTTTAACGTTATTTCCGTGATCATTGATCGATGAAGTATAATCCCGATTTGAGAATGAAGTGTAAACAAGTAGCATCTATCATTGTATAACTACTTTTCACCAGATCTGATATGATAAATGAATTTTATGACTGTTTTATTGTTAATATTGTGAGAAGACATGTTTGTTGAAGTAAGTATTACAGTAAATCCTATAGGAGAATAAATTGTATCGCACCTTGATCCAATCGTATCCCTAATGTTATTGACTGAACTAGAGTATTGCAGCCAATAAGCAGCTAATACAAGCTATTAATGGAAGCTATATCCCGAATTTTAGTTTAGTCGAGTCTTTATGTTATCGCTTTCTATAGTTCAAGTAGCATTGGATAAGTTGAAATAGGTGGTCGATTATTTCTATTTCGAGATTGCAACTCAATCTACAGTACACAATAATCTTTACATGCATGCTTGCAGTATAAGATAAACAAGATAAAACCGCTACCTGTATGCGAAACAATGGTTATAATATCTTATGCCTGGCTTCGCCACTTTTAAATAATAATAACGATAAAGTGATTATTATGATCCACCATGAACGGAACGACTAAAAAAAAATAGTTGTCCATGGATCGTCGCAGCCATTTGAACTCTACTATACCAGTAATGATAGAATTGTAGAATTACTGTCCTTGCTGATGGTCTTTATCTTCGAGTCGTTCCGACCCACAGTATGCACCTATACAATGATCAGTTACTGCATAACGCTTTCTGTATCATTGATAACAGCGGAAACATCACTACATTTGAATATTCAAAAAATGTATAAATAACCATTAGATCATCCTAGATGAAGGAAGATTTTTCAAATGCAAATTAATCCAGCAAAAGTCGATAGTCATGACGTAATGGATTTCGTGTTACAGTACTGTGAGTGTACAGTACGGTACTTCTGGGAAAGACTCTTCCCTGATACTGTAGGCTTTACAGTACTATGTACAGTACACTGTATAGTACAGTACAGTGTACTGTACTACTGATCGTATGGAACTGTAGTACTCGTATGGTGGACTTGAGTTGTGGACTTCTAGTGCAGTGTAAGTCACTGGAGTAAACGTCGAAACCAGTGGTGACGACATTGCTTTTGCTTGCAATTTGCAACACCCGTACAGTATCTTTCGTACTCGTATGGTGGACTTGAGTTGAGGACTTCTAGACTGCAATGGAAGTCAATGAGTAAACGTCGAAACCAGTGGTGACGATATTGTTTTTGCTTGCAATTTGCAAGACCTGTATGATTCTATTCCATACCATTCGACGATTAGGCATAGGAGACCAGCGTATAGTGGGCTATTGGTAGCGGTTTGCACCTGAAGCCCACATTAGAACCCCATGAAAGGGTATCAGAACTGAATCCATACCACGTCAATGAGCAAAACTAATGTCGTTTAGAGTATTCTGAATCACCACAACAGACTCCAGTACTACGGACGGTGCGGACGGCTATACACTCCACTACAGATGACAAGTCAAGACTGTACACGCTATACCCTACTGAGTAAGTGAGTATAATACCCATTCCTTACGGTCTTAATACAGTACTACTATAACGCTTTCTCCGCCGACGACCACTATAAGCCTGGGCAGTTCTTGACTTGCAGCCAAACTCGATTGCTGTAGTAGTAGTGTTAAATGTGTTGATCTTTTCGTAGTGGAAAAAGTTGAAAATGTCCAGCAGAAGTGAAAGCAAGATCAGAGAAGGTTTACAATATCTAGCAGCTGCAGAGAAATGGTAAGTGTCAATGATAGGATATTGTACAAAGTAGAAATTGACTTAAAATTACCGGCGTTGATTGACATAGAGTAAACGATGGATGATACAAGTTTACCATGGGTTTGCTTTCCTAAACTGAACCAGATCATATAATGTATTACTGTACTGTATAATAAATATACATATACTCAAAGTCTAAGTATAATTATAATTAGCCTAGCAAAATACAAACCATCATCAGTTTAGTTTATCATCACGGAAATAAACAGTCACTATTCAACTTTGTCCGCTGTCAATTTTTTATGTTATTCTATGCGTATACTGTACTACCATTCGACTGATGAATTGGATACGTATATCGATGATTGTGCTGTCGATGTCGACTACTTTTATATGAATGATCGTGGGTTAGTTGCTTGTTAAAATGATTAACTGACGTTAAATGTGTGAAATATGGCTATGATATTTGATTGTGCATTTATCACAGCGATCAAGAATTCAATCACTATCCTCGAGTTATATCTAATACATAAGGTAGTACTGTACGAGACTGCAGTGGTAGTTGTACAGATCATGATTGAAATTGTCTCATTCGCTTTAGCTGTCGACGTTGTATTTTTCAATAGAATGTTTTTTCAGTTCTGATTTCTAAAATAGTGCTGCCTTCACAAATAGAAAAGCTTTGGCCTGCTATAAGCGTATTAGTGACGATAAACACTATGTAAAAGGACTACAGTGCTGTAAATTCAATTCTGTGCTAACTTGCGTCTTGATTAGATGTAGATTAACTATACTTGTCTTACTAAACAAGTACTAATATCAATGTAATAATCAATACTCGAGGACTCAAATGTACTGATAAAATGAAAATAGTCATGTACAAATTAAAACATTTACTAGACATACGCCTAGCTATGATGATCAGCACTTGTAGAAGTACGTAGACTATTTTCCAATCATCCAATCAACATACCAGTTATATCATAATTATCGATCCTTTTATAGTATAAAGACTTCTCTATTCAAATGGAGTGCTGATTGGGAAGGAGCCGCATCTGACTACTCAAAAGCAGGTTTGCAATTTATTGTCTTACACCACTGAAGAATATGAAAGCTAGTTTCGTCCAACTGTCGACATTCTTATATAAATCAGTTTATAAAAGACACAGAACATCAATCTTCATTACTATTAGACAGTAATTATAAATACTATATTGTTGTTGTGATAGAATTTACTATTGACCCTAATTGATAACTTTTATCTAGTTTAGGAAATCTTAATTGTATAGAGCTAAAAGCACTTTGCATATAGATACATAGTTGAGAGCATCAGAATTGAATACATTACGAAATTATGATTGATAGAGAATGAAATTCCTTAAGAATTGACCTATCTTGTCATCATATGCCATATAGGGAATTGTTTCAAGAACGCCAAGTCTTATGAAAAAGCCAGTGAAGCATTCAGGAAAGCCGGCGAAGCTCAGTTGAAATCACAGGCGTATCCATAACTTTCTTATCACTTAATCTGTACATGTTAATAAGTACGACTAAACGCTTTATAGTAGCCCACACCCGAGAAGCAGCAAAGATTAATCATAGATTCCTTAACTTACCCGTTACTTGCATTGTGTACCCTAAATTTATAAATACAACAGTCTTTATCATGCAGCAAAGTAAGTTCATGAACTAATAAGAGTAATATAGATAATATGTTATCAACGTAATAATTGCCATACGTATTGTATGCTACTACACTCATCTGCTATTTGTTCCATTCGTATTTGTAGGTCATATGAACAGGCAGCACTCATGCTAAAGGTTATCATAACAATAGAATTTCAACAGCATTATTAAAGAAATGGACAGTAATTTATCAAATTTAGATTTGCTATCATTTAGTATTTTAATCTTTTCAAAACAATAGGAGTTAAATTGTATTGATGAGGCCGTAGATCTTCTAAAACAAGCCAGGTAAATCTTTGAAATTCTAACTTATTATATGACCTATGCCATAGTATTGTAATATCTAGCTATTGTAGGAGAGACAGCATAGACCTTTTGCCCGTGATTTATACTTAACAGATTCTATTAATATACAGTTCTATGCTATCGGAGCACGGATCACCAGCTTCAGCTGCTCAGGCACTAAATAGAGCTGCAAAGTAAGTATAGGAGAAAATGATTCCAGTAAATTAATGATGCTGCACAATGGATACTTTTGACGCTGAATTGTTGTAAATATTCATTTCAAGAATCTGTGAGGCTACAAAAGCAGAAACTGCTATCGATCTATATTTAAGAGCCTGTGAATTGCATAAGGTATGCTGATAACGAAGTACATTGCTGTGGCGATTAAGATGAAAATGTCTTTGGATAATGATCTTAATGTTCTGTGTACTTTACCATTTCCTCTCGTGATGAATTTTATAAATTCGTTGATTTGTTAAAAAATGTAAATCTACGTTAGATTGAAGAAAAATCAAATGAGGCAGTGGAATGTGTTGGCAAAGCTGCAAGATTACAGTTAAAACTAAAAAAGTAATTATGACATAGCAACTCGTAATCTTGAGAGAAATGTTCTCTTTTCGTTTAACATGAAATAATAAAATTATTTGCACTACTATTTAGGTACACAAACGTTTTGGGTACCATGCAGCAACAGTGCGAATTATATCAAAGCATGGAAAAATTTCCCTCCGTATTTAGGGTATGGATAACTTTCTGCATTCTAAGCTATATAAACATTTCAAGATATGATTATAAGGTATCAGATAGATCTTGCGTTAAACTGTTTCTATCGGTTTAGGCTATTATCGCTATGGTTATTGTTTATTTAAAACTTGGAGACAAAGTTGCGGCTGATAACTGTTTTAGAAGTGCCACTGAGTAAGTTTTCTTACTTCCAAATATTTTGCTATATTTAGCAACTATTTATTAGTAGTGAACGATTTTATTAGGTACCCCGGATTTGATACTTCTGAAGAAGGTGCATTAATAGAAAATTTACTGGATTCCATCACTGAGGGAGATAGCGAAACATTTCAGAAATGCATTCGAAATCCTATAATATTACATAATGACAACGAGGTACGAAATTTAACTAATAATCCTGTGCACCTATAGCATAGTTCTATAAATGGCGTAACAACTGCATTTGTGTTACCATAACAGATTGCAAAACTGGCAAGAGATTTACGCCCTCCAACAGTAGTCTTACCAGATTCTAATGCATCAAGTACTGGCAATGCGTTAGAACCTGATGACAACAACGATGACGACGTAGGTGATGCATTGAATTAGGCTATCGGTACGTCTACGCAGGGCACCGTAGAAAGAAATGTGTATATGGCAGTGCGAATTAATGTAACTAAAGAATTAAAAAAGATCATATATTCAAGCTGACACTGAATTAGAATATCCATGCCGTTGTAGCGCATTATTAATGTATAACATCATGCGACATTATTGACCTCATTGCATTCTGGGGTTTTCGTTTTCTTGAAATTGGTATGACTATATTACTCGTCGACTTCAAGGATTACGAGTAGCTTTATTATATTTTCACTGTAATAATTATAATTTACTGAAATGTAAGCTATCTCAATAAGCATAAGATAATTAAATGTAAGCAGGCGCAATAGTATATTTCGTAGTCACTTCTTTGTAGTAGTGTATGGTTTACAAGAAAAAAATTTTAAAAAATCCCTTCATGGTTCTACCTGTATAACTAACATTTCATCTAACCCAAATTATTTTAGTATAGGCAATTTCGCTGTAATTTTAAATGAAAGAAGACAAATTCTTTATTCCTGTATAAAATATGTATTAGCAGTATATAAGTGTTACGATTATATCCAAATCAAGTGAGTTCAGGATAGAAATGCATTGAAAACTTCTTGGTATGTTACAAAGTGAAGTTTAGGAATATCACTGAAAAGCTCAATTTATCAGCAATAAATAAAAAATACAAATACGTTCATTTTTTAACGTCAATCTTTGTATATCAGATTCTTAAATTATGATATTGTGCAACAGGTAATATCTCCTTTACTGGCTTAGCTTTCATGTTGTTAATATTATTATTGTAACAATATGAATTTTATATACATTAATATTGATTCGTTATCAACTTTTAGGATAGCCTCATTATACCCCTATATCGGTGACTATGGGCAATAATATTGTAACAGCCAAAGCAGAACTTATTTGTGATGGCTAATCATACAGAGCAATGCATCAGATAACAGCCCAATTACTATTAGCAGTAAAATGACGTTCTACTTCTAAAATTGCACAATTTTACGCGTATATTGTAAGACTATCACCATTATTTAATAATATTCTAATTATTTTGTTATTGAAACTATCTCCGTTAGGGATCTTCAATGAAAATTTAGTTATTTTCAGGTTCCCTAAGCCCTTCACTATGTTGCTTCTTACCCATCAACTCCAGTAGGGCTTTAGCACTAGGATCTTGATCGAGTATACTTCTTTTATTCTCCTACAATAATTATAAGCAATAGGAGGATTAATGGATAAATATACTACTATTACATCACTATTCTGGTTACAACTATTTTATAACAATATACATCATTATCATCGTCCTTCTTCTTTTTTCCGATACTCCATACTTCCAGACAATCAATCTCAAAAGTTTTATTCCCGGACAATTGTGGACTTCCGTAGGTTGTACACTTTGGTCCAGCCATACTATGGCCTTTACCGTATTCCGCATCAATCCATAATCCAAAATAATCAAATTGACCGCCCATACCCTTTAGGCAATAGATTAAGCAAACAAGATATTATTTTATTGTCGGTATTTTAAACATATTGGCGAATTATGGATCATGTGTTCCACTTACTAGGCCATTAGGTAACGTCTGCATGTTACAGTTTAGATACTGATAATTCTTATTGTATCTAGTAGTTGTATATACACTCATTTTAGGATTTGCGGTAAACAAAAAACATTTCGAATCGCCTAAAAGTGAAAAATTGATCGATAAAGTAATTAGCAAAGGTAAAATGAAACTTATCATGCGTAATACTACTACTTTGCTAGATAGAACTGAAATTATTCATTTAATATTATTCATTTAATAATTATTTTAAAATTGCCACAATGTATCATTCCGTTCAATCTATCAAAATGGATAAAATAGTTTACCAAAGAATTGAGATTTATAATTCCAATTTTGTGAAGCGAATCCTCCAAATATATGACCCTTTATATCACGAATGATTAGCAAAGTCGGACCTTTGTTAATAATTCTGCTGCACAATGTAGTAAAACTTTCACCATGTTGTAAACTGGAAAAGAGTAATTTCCATTCATGTCGTAGTTGATGTTCCAAGTGATTATTTAACATTAAAATTGTGGAATAGGTCAGTAACTGCGATGGTTTATTATCTTCTAATATGCATAGAGGTATAAGTATATCTGTAGTAGTCTCATCATTTTCATCATCATCATCATCATCCAAATCAGTTTTATCCGCTTGAACTATGTGGGATTTTTCTTCTTGATGGACAGAAGTTTGATCCATAAAACATGCCATAAATAATTCATCGGCAATACGTGTTATCAAGGGTGTTTTAACTAACCACTGTTCTATCTCATCGATGGAAAATTGTGAGCTATCGCTTTCAATTGTGGTGCTACTGTTGAAAGCGGAGAGTAAAGACTTCTCTTGTTTTGGGGAGCTAATGAGCAAATCGGTTAATAAGAAGCGAGCAAATTGATGCAACGCTTGACGATCTAAGGTTAAAAGCCAAGAAGAAATTTGCTGGCTATCACTACATCTACCATTTAGGCCAGTATGGAGGTAAGCAGTGACAATCAGTTCACAAAATTTTAACAATTGAGTACATTTAGCTGCTTTACTTTGAAATCCAGCGGTGATGGTGAGATAGATTCGTGTCTTTTCCGTTAAGGTTTTTTTCAATAAGCGCGATATAAAATGGCAAAATACTTCAAAGTTAATTGAAATCATATCACTTTCCGCATGATGAGAAGGCGGCGACATAGATATTCTGCTCATTTCATTGAATATAGCATGAATTACCCGAGTAGGGAAAGTTTTCGATAAGAAATTCTACATAAATATTCAACAGTAATCGGAAAATCCTTTAGGTAAAGCTATGACGTAATCTTACTACAAGTGGATCTTTTCATCCATCTTACGTGTACACTGTACTGTATGCTAAACAAGTAAAATATTATAATTCATTAATAATCATGATAACGGAATAAGCTTAAGACGTCAATATATTATGCTGTAGTAGGGTTAGGGTTAGGTGTATAAAATCCATTTTATATTGCTGGATTATAGACGGCTATACTGCACACTAATGCCAATGTCATCAGTAGCCCATACGGAGTAGCCATGGCTAATCAATTAGTAATCATGCAAGTTTTACTACTGCAGCTATAGTAGGCGATCAAAGGACTACATTATCCAACAGGGTGTAAATCGTCATCAGTCGGCTTAGACCTATCTATTCTATCACAAAATAATACTTAGGAAACAGTAAACATTACTGCTACTAATCAATCCCCATTGATACAGATGGCAGTAGCTAGCTATATCAGTGACTGCTATCCAATTTTACTACACTGCACCTATACAATGCTATAAGATTATAGCTTCTTCTCTACACGATATCTCTTACCTCTAAATCTTTTCTGTCAAAGTGATCGCCTTCATTTTTAGTGATTTCACTAAATAGATCTTGTAATTTATTTAATTCATCATCAGTAAAACATTTCATCGACTGGCTGTAGACATCTGCTTGATTTTTACTTTCAAATGATCCCATAGCTGCTAGCAGCATCGCCTCGATGGCCGGCAATTGAAGTAGTAGAGCGACCGATCGCGCATGCACCAATTGGGCTTGCAGAAAGGCGAAAAGAGCACAGGGTAGGGCTCGTAGCATTTCGCTTGACACATACAATTAGTATTAAGCTTGCTCCAATTCATATTACTCGCTTGAAATCGATCTTGAGCACGACTAGCGACCAGCTAGGAGAAGAAGGATTTCTTTTCCATTTTTGAGCACAGTCCTTGGCATAACTCGACTCCAATTTCCCTCCTGTCTTTAACTAAATTAGCCTGAATACTTCTTTACTATCATTCTCGCTTATAATAAAAAGAAGCAAGGTATACTTGTTATTGGAGTTGAGTAATCGCTGACATAGTTCATTGGCATTGATGCTGCTGATATAGTACACCGTAAGCTCGTTCAAATTCATCTTCGTGAAATCGATTCCACTTTCTAGTCCAATCCTTGACACTACTCGACTCCAATTTCCCTCCTGTCTTTAACTAAATTAGCCTGAATACTTCTTTACTATCATTCTCGCTTATAATAAAAAGAAGCGAGGTATACTTGTTATTGGAGTTGAGTAATCGCTGACACAGTTCATTGGCATTGATGCTGCTGATATAGTATACCGTAAGCTCGTTCAAATTCATCTTCGTGAAATCGATTCCACTTTCTAGTCCAATCCTTGACACTACTCGACTCCAATTTCCCTTCCTGCCATTAAATTCACCTAAACTTGTAGCTGCTTATTCAACAGATGAAAGTAGCATTTTCCAACATATGTTTAAAGGGCATCAAATCGCTCGTAGAATCTCATTAAAATTCATTGATTCCATTCATATTGATGACAGTAAAAGTACATGATACTATGTATTATGTTATTCTATTCTTGATGCCGATTACCATATAGATGAATTCTACTGGATGCCTACAGTAGTGCTGTATAAGATGTCTTAGCAACAGTTCTAGACTGCACCTGATCGATAATTTGGCTTTGTTTACGAAACCAATAGAAGGAACTAGTGTTAGTTTGACCAGTCCTTATCCATTTCTATAGATCCTCTTTTAAGTATATATAGCCGATATGTAGGATCATGAGGTGGAAAGGGTTAATTCAAGCTACGACATTCCACTGGTGTAACTACTTTGCCCCTTATAACGGACACAATTTGTTTCCTTGAGAGAAAAAGACGATTGACCTTTGCCATGTCTAATCTGATTATGTAAATCATCTCTTATATTCCAGTAAAATTTGTTGACTAGATTAAACGATAACAGCACTCATTTTGAACCGTTATTTCTCGACACCCCCAACTTGGTGTACCAATTTCGACCCAAGACAAGTGCAATCAGCCATTTACGATCCACATAGAAAAGTTTTAATTAACTCTTCTTGATTGTGGACTGAATAAATTGATCCGTGATTGGTAGTGGATTGACTAGAACAGATCTAGACGCCCAATTGTAAAGTTAAAAAAGTTCCCCAATTCATGTCAATATTTGAAACAATTTAGAATAGTAATCAAGATAGCAATACGTCAATTAACTTGGCTAACATTAACGTAGGTGGGCTATAATAATACTGAGTCTATGGTACGAGCAACTTAGCCTTTCATCGACGTAAGATCCATAATAAGAATGGATGAGGAAAAAATCAGCGAAGAGGAGAGATTTGCTACTACAACATCGTATCATGGCTGGGCGCATATCTATGACGGCAATAATGGTCGAATGACCAAGATTATTTGGATGATCTTGGTCATCTTAGCTACAGCAGCTTGCATCAGCCAATGTATTATAATCATTTATAACGCTAGCAAACTGCCGACACGAATGGTCATTCGTAAACAGTTAATGAACACTTCCATCTTTCCATCAGTAACGCTATGTAACACTAACGATTATGATCGCAGTGCTTTACCTGCCGCTGATTTATACCATCAATCTGCTTTAGTCAAGGCAATCTATGGATCAGGCGATCCTAACAAGACAAATGCCGCTATAAACTACTTTGATAAGAAATTTGGAGGTAATTTCCAATTTGAAAATCTTACCCGTGTAGCTGGCCATAAATTATCAAACATGTTGCTTTCTTGTACATGGATGGAACAACCTTGTTATGCTACCGATTTTGTTAATATCATAACTGATGGAGGTAGCTGTTTTACATTCAATCCCGGTAAGTGAAACTAAAATTGATACACCTCTACTTGGAATAAATCAATCTATTTAGACCGATGGCTTTGTTTTATTTCATAATTGCTTTAGCTGTTATTCGACGATCGAACAGAGTTAGTTATTCGTACATAGGTTAACATATAACATATAACATATATATAACTGGAAAGTTATTATTGTCGTCAGCTCAATTGTATAAAGAGTAGAATCATATTACACTTAGTCTTATTGCCTTGGATATTAATCTTTACAATACGTTTGTAGAGTTATTGCAGGTATCTTATTGCAATAGCGCAGCGAAAGCAGTTTTTCATTCCATACGCAATAGTTAGCAATATGGCTACTAGAAATACGTTATATTTTGTGGCAAACTTCATAGTCAACCAACATCTTGGACACGAATAGCATATCACACTCGTAAATGGATTACTTCATTATAAAACGTAACTGTAATACTTATAAATATGCTTGTAATCTAAAGTTTCATCTTTACTGTTACTTGAACTCTTATCGTCCATCTGAGAGGTCTTGTTGACTGCCTATCCGTCATCTAAAGTACTAGAGATGGCGGTAATTATAATTTTGAATATATCATGGATTATCAGTCTGATACTTTCTGTTGATTTACTCCACATCTAATAGATGTACTTCAGTATCTACATGTGTTTAAGATGAAAAATCGATCAAATAGATCCTACGATACAGACGATATGCTGAGCAGTGCAGTACAACTCTAAAATAAGACTTATTTCAATCTAGTATGGATTTCTTTGACAATTCATTTTTCAATGTTATCATTAACGAACACGATAAATCAAGGTTTTTCAATATTTTAAGGCATATACAGTAAAAAATAAAGCAAATTTGGGGTGCTCAGACATTCAATGATATTTAAAATTTTTCAGGCACCGGTAATCTATCTCTGAAGAATGAAACTGTCAGCGGCAATAGTAATGGTTTAAGGCTCATTTTAAATGTTGAACAATATAAATACTACTCGGGAATTTTTGCTCTAGAACAACCCGATGCTGGCATCAGATTTACAACCCACTATTACAAGCAAACACCTAATTTTATTTCTAAATCTTACTACGCCCCGACTGGTTTTCATACCTACGTTCCCATAACTCTCCAGCATGTAAGTAAACCACTGTTAAAAACAGACACTCACTAGACTATCATATCGCATCGAATTTCGATCATATTATTCGCACATAATCACTTAATGAAATCATTTTATAAGGCCCAGAAAACGTTGATTCCTATTTATTGACAATATATATTTAATTAAAGCATATTGATTCCTATTGATTAAAGTTATAGATTAATTTAGCAGATTGATTCCTATTGACTAAAGTTATAGATTAAATACTTTCTCGAAGCATTTTAGAGTTCATTGCACTATACTACTAGCGTATTCCTTTCAAGCTACTTATAATTAGTTTAAAAATAATACTAGCTAGAAAATATCTATTAAGAAATACGGTAGTACATTTCAATTTTATTCTGTCCTAATCTCATGTATCGTTCATTTAATCTACCTGGATCAGTAGTACTAATTTATTTAGTTTACATGATTTCAATCACCAAATTAATTTATCATAGAGAGATAGACTATTACGGTAGTATGAACATTTAATAGTGCTCAATCGATGATCTTCAGATAGTTACACTATAGATTGAGATATAGTATACACTGTCTTATGTAGTGATTAAATTGACGTACAACTTGCTAGAATACTTATGGGATTATGCGATCCTCTTGAAGGATTGCTATAAATAATTCATAATTTATATATCAACTAGCGACTATTAATTAAAGTTTTGCTTGTAATTATACTAAATTATAAACAGGATAAAAGATTAAAGAAGCCATGGGGACAGTGTGGAGAGGAAATATTAGTTTATAACTCCTTTTATTCTCGTGATGCTTGCCTTAGTGAATATGCGGGAAGACTAGCATCGTATATATGCAACTGCACTTTCGAACCGCAGATAGGTAGATTATTAATTTATCAAAGTAGAATTGTAATTTATAATGATGCTACGGTTATATTCTATCATTTTACCTTACCCTTTCAGTGCAAGTTTCTTTACTAAAAAAATCTATCATTAAATATTTCTAGATGCTAATGGCCCAGTTCTTTTAATTCAAATTTTTTCTATATATAGCTTCTAATCCTTGTAATGGTACGCAATTTCTCACCTGTATCACTCCTTTAGCAAGTATGTGTATAAAAAAATTTAGTTTTTAACACCATTAAAATAGTGTTAGCGATTTAATACTCACTTTTTTATCACTCTGTTTTCCTCGTAGGTAAATTCAGACAAGATCTTAGCCAGAATTTGTCTATTTGCCCGATTGCTTGTGAGACTTATAGTTATCCGACTGAAATATCTCAATCAGCGTTAGCAGCATTGGCTTTTGCCAGCTCTCTAGATCCATTGATTAATGTTTCTGGAATTATTGCTAACGCCAAAGCGAATAATTGGATTGCTCCAAATCAGTCCTATTTCGCGGCTGATTTCATCAGGTTTAATTTTTAAAATGTATTGTTTAAAGCAATTATTAAATAACCAATATTAATATTCATAAAACATTCTTAATTGAAAAATTGCTTTTAGGGACAATATTGTTTATTTAGATATCTACTATAGTGATTTGCATTTAACTCAGACGCTACAAGAGGAAGATACTGGATTTTCTAAAATTATAAGTTTGTATTCATAGTCTTGAATCATTTATTCGGCCTTTAACGATATGGCTAAATGATATAACTGGATTAATTAATATTCCGGTATTGTAAATAAATTAAATTAACTATTTCTTTGTGATATTTTATAGGTGAATTGGGAGGCCAGTTGGGAATATGCATAGGTGCTAGTGCTCTAACCATTTGTGAGATCGTGCAGTATCTGATCAAAAAGTGTTTTGCTTCCAATAAAAAATCAAAGAGCGATAAATCATCAACTAACACTATATCCTTAGGCCATGACAAGAAGCCATTCGAAACTACCACTGTGACAAACATAGATCTTTAAAGAATCAGTATCTATGATTTCTAGCGCAGTACACTACTAATTTCTTACTAACTTATTTATATGCCCTTTTACTACTTGCAACATATTATTTGTATCTCCTTATACTACTTACTATTTGCTACATATACACAATTACCAAATTAATTTCAAGTACGCAACTGCAATGACTTAATTTCATTTGCCATCATTCCTTTAAACGAGTGTATTGCTCTCAATGCATGTTTGTTTGGCTGTTGAGTAGATTAAATTATTCTCCAGAACAGCTTATTTTATATCACAGGTGCAGCTGAGTTTAACATAGTTCTATAGGCGAAAGAATAACTCTGTGATTAACCCTAAAATATTGTAGAGGATAGGAAAATGCACTCAGCATTAAACATATAGTATATATCCTTTATACATACATTATACCTCTTAAATTTCTATGTACGTAAACATTTCTTTCAATATGAATAGAAATTATGTTAATTTTACTTATTTATTTTATTATCACTCGATTCATGAAAACGGTAAATTAATACTGTTATTAATAATACTGCTTATGTATGGATAGTCATAGTTCGCACATAGTACAGTACTATGACGACTCTATATATTAATACCGACCACATAATTTACTTACGATAGAAACGATAAATGATTTAAACTTGAATCGATTTGCCCTCTCAAACTATTCTTTACATCACACATTGAATAATTTCTCAGGATTTGATTTGAGACCTCCGACATAACTAGCATAATAGTAACGAATATTTAGTAATATTAAATTACGTATAATATACTCCTAGGTATAATGTAGATAAATGTTTACTACATGCTAGAGTATATACGCATATACTACAGAATATCTATAGGAATTTGTAATTATGGATTAATTAACACCTGGAGTGTTTGCTATTTTGGTATGCTCATGATATTGATTATTATTTACCAAGCAGTATAATCTATGCGCTACTTCTACAATCTATGCCTATAGTTAACTTACCTTAAATTATATATTACAAGATATTTTTAGGTTTATGTAAATGTATATTAATTCTAACTTGCCTACAAATGATATATTGAAGGATATTTATCCTAATTATCATAGCCTCTCCTCTACCACGTCTACATTGGTATTTGTGCGATAAATATAATTTATTTTATCAATAGTACTCGAAGCGCATATAAGCGCTTAATGATATCCCTAGTATAATGCAAATAATACAAATATCCTATTTCATCACATCAATCACTTGTCTGCTAGTACATTATTTTACATCATCTAGACTAGTAAACCAGCTTTGCCATATTAAATAACAAACAAGCAAACAACTCCAGGATTAACTAGATAGAACATGGCAGCATAAGATATTGTTTATTAAGTTCTGCTAAGCTAGAGAAGGAATACTGTAGTTATGACAGAAGATCCAGAGTATAAATGAGTTACACGTATTCAAAAATGGCGGACATGACCATACATGATCCAAAACTAATAATAAGTAAGATGTTCTGATTGATAAGGTTATAGTAACTCTAGCTCTAGCACTACTCCGTCTCTTCTACGAATCTAAAATCGATGCTCGTCATTATTTACTGGATAAGAAGGCAGTATGTAACAAAGTCAATTTCAAACCCTATTCATTCTATACCGGATCAAATTATCGTCAAGTGTTTATAATAATATGCAATAATGGTTTAGTTGTTTTAGCTATTTATTACTGTTCTAACTGGCCATTTTATTTAATTAATTATAATAAATCTCTATTACGTCATATTTCATTTGTACTATTTATTGTTTCCTATACCTCCTTGCCTTGTTTAAATGCAATGTATTTGTTGGATACGTCATTCTGCTATCGCATAGAAACCTTGTTTAACATTAGACTGCTATAATCGCTAGCCATCTATTTAAGCCCATGTTCAAGCGTAGGTATAGAATTGATTTTGTGAAAAGGGGGGGAAAATTGCAACAGGTCCAAGACTAGTCTACTATTAAAGCTATAAATCAGTGTTACCTTACACGATAACAAGATTCATCGCAAGTGTCAGCTGGTATATTGATCTCAAGGCAAAACTTCAAGTTTCGGCAATCAGAGTCAATCATTTTTCTATATGCTAAATTATTTCACTCTTTGCTTCTTGGCTAAACAAACATCTCGATAATTAGTATTTTAATACTGTATACACTAGCGAGTAGAGACAAGCAATTGTCAAGTTGAAATTCTCCCAATTTTAATGTCAATATTTGAGCCAATTTGGAATATTAACCTAGATTGCAATAGACAATTCTAATTCCTTAACCACAACAGCATTAATAACGTTAGATTCCATCGATAAAGAATACATGATGGCCAAGGGAAAAATCGATCACGATGAGAGATTTGCCACCACAACGTCTTATCATGGAGTGGCACATATCTACGATAGTAATAACAGTAAAAAGACCAAGTCAATTTGGATTATCCTAGTCATTTTAGCCACAGCTATTTGTATTAGCCAATGTGTTATCATCATTTATAATGCTAGCTTATTACCGACACGAATGGTTATTCGCAAACGATTAATGAATTCATCCGTCTTCCCATCAGTGACGATATGTAATACGAATGATTTCGATTATACCGGTTTACCAGCAAACGATTTAAATCATCTATCATCGATAGTCAATGCAATCTATGGCTATACTCCTGCTTCTGCTGCTGACGATGCTATCCAATACTTCGTTCAAAAACATGGTGATGATTTTCAAATTAATAATTATACTCGTATGGCTGGCCATAAATTAAAAAATATGTTGCTCTCTTGCACATGGATGGGAGAACCTTGCACGGTCAACGATTTTACCAATATCATTTCTAATGGAGGTAGTTGTTTCACATTTAATCCTGGTAAGTAGAATTCAATTAAATCAGTCGCCCTTTTTAATTTATTTATTACGTTATGAATAGGATGTAGAGTAGTTTGTCGTCAATTATTATAAGTTGTTCGATGATCATGATAGAACAAAATTATACACTCATGATTAAATTATTTTACAAGTTGTACTATAATAGGCGTCAAAACTTGATATCTTGCATGATTTAGAGCATTTATTGTGTGGTTCTTTCTTTCTTTTATAACTTTTGTACATTAACGCCACTAAAGATAAAACATGTTGGTAAAGGGAGCCCTTAATGTGATAAGCAGTAAAAAAAAAAATACCTAGACAACCAGTGATAGAGAGAAAATTTATCCATCATTTAATCCTAGTAAAATATTGAAAAAGTACGGTAGGAGATAATTATTTGATCAACCATGGAATACTTGGTGTAGTTCACGAAAGGATTTAATGAAGTTTACATCGGAAATTAGCATAATGTTTAAGTGTAAATGCAAAGACTTTTTCTTAAGAGTTTTCCAATCTGTTTCATGATACGTACTTTATCGTCCAGTACTGTTTTAACGATAATCTATTTTACGCATTTTGAGATCCCAATGGTAATAATAGTTATTCGTATATTTTTACCATAAGGACATTGTGCTTTGTAGTATGCCAGTTAATCATGATCAGCATAATTTGAATGAGGTCGATTGTAATAATTATAATTAATGTTAGTATATACTTTGAACTCTTTTCCCATATCCAGTAAGTCTTATATACTATCTATTATTTAACCAAAATAATGGAAATAGTTGTATTTTTGATATAACTTGAATTATTTACAGATCAAGCATTTAATGATAATTCAATATACAGGTAAAAGAGCGTTAAAGTAGACAGTTGATTAAATTGATATCATCATACTTTTAACAATTCTTTAGGCACCAATGCTATACCATTAAAGAATCAGACTGTCAGTGGCAATATTAATGGTTTAAGGCTCATTTTAAATGTTGAACAATACAAATATTACTCCCCACTTTTTTCTCCACAAGCACCAGATGCTGGTATTCGATTTACCATAAACTATTATAAGCAGCCACCCAATTTCATCTCCAAACCTTACTATGCTCCGACTGGTTTCCATACTTATGTTCCAATCACTCTTCACCGTGTAAGTAAATAACCATTAAAAAGCATTTATCAAACATTAAATACAGTATCCAACTATATTCATTGCTGTTTGATGGATAAAAAATTTTTAAAAGTAAAAATCTATACCATACCTTACGATAGCGTATACAGAATCATCTTTTTCAGGGTGTTGTATTTTTTTGCTGGCGGCGGCCTTCAATTCAAATTCGAATAGTAACATTTCACTATTCGTGTATCTCATCGTGATCATCTACAGTAATACAGCCCAAAAAGTTAATATTTCTATTGATTACAGTTAGCAATTAATTAGATACTTAAACTCATTCCCATGCTACTTCAAAGTCCAACACACTTTGTGTTTACAACTTAACCACCATGTAAGCCTAAGAAAGCTTTAATTCTTATTGACAAGAGTGATCGATTACTGCAATACTAGTCCAACTTTTTCCCATATTATTCTGGGGTCTATCGCAGTCTATTCCTCCGAATAGCCTATGAGTGCATTCAAAAGATAATGCTAACCGGGAAATACCTGTTTAAAGATTGTGCGTCGGCTACTATTTCATAAATTATTCTTATCATTAGCGGTAGTAACTTTTAATTTGCGTAATTTCAGTTGAGCTAATTGGTTACGGATAATAATAGTACTAATATTGGAATAAATTTGTGTTTAGTCAATATCATGAAATTTGCAATATTTTCTTGGATAAGTTTGACGATAGTCTATGTCTACACTTTCTTGTATCTGTGAAAGTTTGCAAAATATCAGAAAGTGATTTGTTAATTATACGAATAAATATCTTTTCTATCTGTAAAGCCACGATGCTATAACCTGAAAGTTACAGCAATTAAATTTGTATAGATAGTCTTTTTGAGGCAAGAAATAATTATGCTTGCATTCTGTTACTCAAGTATGCGAAATAACTGCTATGATTTATTCCTATTATGGTGTTCACTACAAAAGTTTCAACTTAACTTTTCTATTTATAAATCATTTCTAATCAGGATAAAAGATTAACGAAGCCGTGGGGAGAGTGTGGAGAGCTGTTGCTAAAAGATCACTCGTATTATTCTCGTGATGCTTGTCTTACTGAATATGCGTCAGAATTGGCAGGATTAACGTGTAACTGCTCCAGTTCAGGCCAGACAGGTAGATCCATTATCGGGCAAGTTGATTTTAATTCATAGTAATATTACAGTGCTATTCTAAAATAACTTGCCAACCATATTCGCTTCAAAATTCTTACTAAAAAATTCTTGCTTGAAATAATCATCTGCTTTTTTGTACCATTATTTTTATCTGCAGCTACTAATACTTGTAATGGCGCTAAATTTCTCACCTGTATCATTCCTTCGTCATGTATGCATATTAGAAAATTGGATTTTAGTTTTAATCATCGTAAAATAACATCGGTGTGCTTTAATACGTGCTCTTACTTTTCGATCCATCTTTAGTTGTTACTCGAATGTCTCTCAGTCAAAATTTATCCGTTTGCCCGATTGCTTGCGAAACATATAGCTATCCAACTGAAATCTCTCAATCATCACTTGGAACATTTGCTTTTAGCAGAGTTCTAGATTCAGTGATTAATATATCTACAATTCTTGGCAAGGCCAAAGATGAGCATTGGATTCCTCCTAGTCTGCCGTATTCTGTATCTGAATTCATCAGGTTTAATTCAGATTCTTGAAATAATCATTAAGCTAATAACCAATATTTTATCACGGTATATTCTAACTATAAAAAATCATATTTCAGGGACAACATTGTTTACTTAGATATCTATTACTCTGATCTACGTGTAACTGAAACAGAACAGCAAGAAGATACCGGATTTTCTAAAGTTTTAAGTCTGTAGATTACCTCCATAGTATTATTTATGTCAAGATTGTTTAAACATCTATGAAGTGATTGTTGAACGATTCTTAATAAATATGTTGATATTCTATAAAGTCACACCGTACCGTAAGTTACATATATTAAATATACATTTTCCTTTTTAGGTGAGATAGGAGGCCAATTGGGACTATGCATAGGTGCTAGTGTAATAACACTTTGCGAAATCATCCAGTACCTCATCGGAAAATTTTTTACTTCTGAGAAAAAAACGAACCTCAATAAACGACAGAATACTACATCACCCTTGTTCTATAACAGAAATTCACCCGATGCTGATGCAACAAATCCAGATATGTAAAGATACATAGTCCGAAGCTTTCACTTTTCTTAAAATTATTTCTGATTAACTATTTCCTAATTGCTATGTATACGATTAGCGGACAATATCAGCTAATATGCGTAAAAATTGCATGAACGTCTACGGTGGTACAGTTTTATTTGCCTTATGCTATAAAATAAGGATATCGTTCTCAATTTACTCTCGTTTGGCTTTTAGTATATTAAGCTATTCATCGTAGCAGGCAATTTATATATCATAAATGCGTAAAAGACTTCAAGCAAAATGATGTAGAGACAGAAAATTAGCGTCCAATTAATGCCAAATATTAAAAATTGTAGTCGATTAGATTTGTAATTCATGTGTATCGTCCGCTAATTTATACTCATATATCTTATAATTTCTTATACAAGTTGATACTAATGTCTGCATCACTATACTAACGATACCTTTATTTAATTATTATTTGTTGTTAAGGTCAAAGAAAATCGTAAATCGACATTTCATGTTAATACTGTATATCTTCCACTGAGTTCGCTGCCCACAGTAATGCGCTTGATATTACTTTTGCTACTACGCTATATTTATTTATGCTATAATTAGCTGTCAATCTATATCGGATATCATTTTACTAATCATTTAAACAGCAAGAACATTATATTTAATCCATTATCAGCGATGAACATTACCTGTGTAGTATACTCGTATATAGATTTCATCAATCTAATTTACTTGATATTTTTATAAAATTTCAATAAAAGTTTATAATAAGATATTCCCGATGCAATATTTACATCATGTCAAGTGCAGTTATAAGCAGATTTTCTTAAATCGCTAGGACTTTCGAAATCTTGAAGTGCATATAAAAGCTTTCAAGTTTGGATATTAATAGGAGAAACACAATTTGTAGCTTTTAACACAACAAGGTAGTTAATATAATTGATGCAATTCTTTCAGCTAGTGCGATAGCGATACTTTAATACTACGATACTACCATTGTTGCAGTCAACATACGATGAAGCTGACAAAGACAGTAATAATTTACAGATCTACGTACGCACAAGCGGTTTGGAATATGAAAGAAAAGTTAGAATTATTATATCAGCGCGATATAGAATATCTGTACACGTAAAAATTAAAATACTAAGAGCCAAAATTAATGCTATAGTATACATCTTTCATGTTATATAATTATAATACATATTTTAATACATAAATTGCATCACATGCTTCTTCATTTAAATTGATATTACGTGCACAATAAAATCTATAACAACTTTTAATATTATAAATTATATTAAAGTGGATGAATATAAAAAAGAATAAAAGGCATTTTTGTGAATTCTATAATAGTGGATGAATTTGTACATTATACACAGAATCGTTAAAGCGCTCACAAAGAAGAGTAAAATTAACGATAATTTTGACTTGAGTGCAAAACGCATTACACACTGTCTTGGTCATTTATTTGATTATATGTTATAGAATTATTTTACCGAAACAAACGTAGATAACTATTTTTGCTGTTCATTCAGAAACTGATACAATTGTATGCCAGAAACCACAGGTAACTGTCGATGCTAGCTTCTCAGATAGCGCTGTTACCAGCTGAGGTACCTTAACACTGTCATAACAATTATGCCCTAGCTGACCATATTTTCCTGCAAGTACAGTAATAGAGAAGGATTAGATTGATAAAATAAATGAAATTAATTAGTAACTATAATTCCGATCGACCTACCCCATCCCCAGGTGTATACTTTACCACTCTCTGAAAAGAATATTTATATATCGTAAAGCATTAGAGAGTGAAGAGGGAGATAACTTTACTACTCAATACGTATGTCAATGCTGTATATCAGACTTTGCAATTATTTCAGGATAGACTGAATTTGTAAGAAATAGATTGAGTCCAAGATACCTGTAATACATGCCGAATGCTTGCTACCACCACTAATTGCTTGTACGTTTTCATTTTCAATTTCAATTAATGTAGGGGTTGCAATACAACTGCCAACTTCGTTGGCTTCTAAATTACTGTCAATACCAAGTTGATAGGATTGATTCCAGCCCCATGAATAAGCATCTCCAGAAGCTTAAGTGAAAAATGTTTAGTAACGGCATCAGAGACAACTAATAGTAGTTTAACCAAACTAGATCAATGATTTTTGCTCTATCTCAACTTACAGCTAATTGCAAATGAATGCCATCCTCCACAAGTAACTAATTTGAACTGAAGGCCCTGCAAAGCTTCAATAACTCGAGGATTACCTTCATTATCTAGAGTATCATGTCCTAGCTGCCCACGGCTATATAGTCATAATTAGAATTAATAGTGGAATTGTAGTAATGTTATCTGAACCTTAAGTTCAAATTATTTATCACCTGCCACGTCCAAAGCTAAAGACTTCACCAGTAATAGATAGAATCAATGCATGTTCTTTACCGCATGATACTAGATTTACACGCGTTGTTTGTAATGTAGGCAATAAACTGAAACACCATGAAGAATTACTCTTATCGACTTGGCCAACTTGTTCATCTGCTAAATAAGAAAATATCAAGGATAATTTGCTATAAGTTATGCCTTGATAATATTTTCAGCCAAGGCTACAATAGCTGCATTGATAGCAACATACTTACAGATCAATGACAGTATATCGTTATAATACAAGAGTATAGTAACAAGTTACAGGAGTCAAGCATGTATACTGTACCTGCATAGCTCGATACTATGACAGCAACATACTCTCCATCAATATTGTTCACTATCTATAATTTACAGTTAATTAGCTGTTGCTACGTTCAATTCCTATGTCTACGGTATTTTCTATAATGCAAGAAGAGAACGGATATTACTATAATGGTACTGTACTTATAAAGACTCACCACATATATCAACTTATGTGTCGATTTACAAGATCATAAACCCCATTTCATGAGTGTCTTACAAAACATATGTATGGCTTATCTAGGATATCATGATCACAATTACAGTGTATCTAAGGTCGGATTAAAACAGCAATGATTACAGTATCCAAGCTGTGTTACTCTACTAAAAACAATAGCTAGCGTACCTGAATGATTATGACTATTAATGAGGTTTTGCATTGTATCATAAAAGATCATATCTCTCACTTTTGTATGGAATGAGTATTTTTTAATTTCTATAATGGTTTATCTAACGTACGATGATGTAGATAAGCGGATTGAAAACAGTGTAGATCTACCTACTTGTAATTGCTAGCTGATGTAAATCTCCGCATGATATACCCCTATAAGTTTGTTCTGAAGGATTTTCAATCGCTTTCAAAGTATTCGCTATGTCTTCCAAGTTACTACATAGCAATAATTGTTTCTTGGTTGATAATAACATTAGTTTATCCCAAGAACCTGAAGCAGCTAATATATCGTTCCTTGGTATTTGATCATGACAAGATTTACCCCAAGCATGAGTAGAAGTTCCTGTCCAAGCAAACGAAATAGTATCATTTAAACAAGAGCATAATAAAGATGATTAATCCATGATCTTCCATCATAGTTGACACAACTACACTGTCATGCAATAATTGAGTAAGCATTCTAGTCCAAGCATGCAAAATAATCATTATTATCCTTTAAATTAAACAAGAGTATAATGAAGATGATTAAGGTTAATCTATGCTCATCAATCATAGCTGACACAACTACACTGTAGACCAATAATTGGGTAGATGTTCCTGTTCAAGCATACGAAATTATCATTCTTAATATTATCATTTAGTAAAAATAAGACCATCATGAAGATGATTGAGATTAAACCACGACTATCTATCCTGGTTCCCACGTCGACACTGAATACACATGTCTATCTTTAACAATTGGACTTACTATCTGTTTTTGTATCTCGAGTGATGATTACGCTTTCAGACCAGCCTGCTGTCATGGATACGATGCGATGATCCTTGTCTATCTTTGCCATTAAAAGCGGTTGATTATAACTCATATGTGTATTACAGGTATCCAAGACATTGTCCACTTGTCCATGCAAGTTATAACCAAAGCCATATATTAGTGTCATAGTGCTACTATCCAATTTACTGTACTGGTCTGATAGACATGCTAGTTTCTTCTTTCAATTGATTGTTCACCGCAATGGTGTGTAGGGTAAGGAAGAACTCGTTTTAGATAGGTTCCTGGGTCTCTCTCTCTCGACCTCTATGGATAGGATGGCAGGTAGACCGTGACGTTGGAGATGGAATCTGCTGCGATGTGCTGTATTATTGTCTACATTTATACAGTAAATATACTAGCTATTAGTGACATGAATATGCTTTAAATCCAATTCTAGCGCAAAAAGCAAATACCTGAGCTCAGTAGACTTATCAATATTGGCGTTGATAGTCGCAGACTTGCGAGTCAATCTTAATGAACCAAATTCTAGCCTATTGCCAGCTCTATTGCTACCATGGAGCTCGCATACAAAAATCAATCCTGCAGCTTATTGGAACGACTATCGTCCACCATTGCAGAGATGTACGTGAAGAATCATTTCCCTTCCCTCCCTCTTTCTTACAGTATATCAATTGTTAGAAGAAAAATCCCTGGCAAAATACTATCGAGGCATGAGGAAAGCTTGTCTTTCTATCTCTATGGGGACAACTAAAAAGGCAAATGGACGGAAAGTAGCCGTTTCGTGTTTGCAAATAGTATATAACCATTTGTAGAATTTCCGCCGTTTTGAGGGGTCATTCTACCATACTGCTAAGTATTGAAAGTCTGAAACAGTATCTTGTACTATACAAAACTAGCCTTACAGCTTATTTCAGTGTCAAGTCCATTAGTATAGTGTATTATTACAGATATACGGTTTCATTGAAATGAGCAGCAATGTCACCGCCTTGTTTATTTTTACTCGATTAATGATCCGTTGCACTGCTTCGTATAGAAAGTGGCTATTACAGTATCACAAGTGACATAGTGAAACACTTCTTTATCGAGTATTTCAGTATTGTATATAAACCCCCATAAGTTTGGGTAGCTATCCTACTAGTTAGACCGACATGTCGAATTGACCAGACATTGTGCTGTACAGTGTACAGTGTACAGTACTTGCCGAGTTGACAGCGGTAGTACTGTAGACTATGGACGAGAATCTACGACAATCCCTCACTTTCTGTTTCTACTGGCAACCGTTGGAAAGGCCAAATAAAGAGACTTAGCTAGACAACAGTAGCCATTTCTGCTTACCATTGATAGCTCTCCTGGTCTTTCTGATTGAATTGACTTACTGAAAGCCCATATGATTTAGGATCTTGAGGTAATAACTGTGTATCAACATGATGATTGCTAGAAGTTGAGGTATAACTAGTTGTAAGGGTTTGCATAGCATGGAGGACTGATCACATCAGCTAGCTCTGCATCTTTGCTCTTCTTATTTTCTGCATAGAAATTGAAATCAACAGTTATCCTAGGAGTGATAACATACACTATTATTCCACTGGAAAATATATTATCCTACCAGTGCTATAGTGCTAGTATCGATTCCATTCTAGTGGATGCAATACTTTACCAGTTGAGCAGATTGAATTGAATACACGATTGATATCAGCAGCCAGGTCTCCATCTTGACCTGCTCAGCACATTTTTTTACTCGATGGAAATAAGGATGATCCAATAAGGAGCAAGTTACAATAGCAATCAACTGGAAATAGACTATCAAATTTGTGCTAGTGACCTAGTGCCAAGATATCGCGATAGAGCTCTAGCTAATGCAATATCTTACCACTTTAGCTTATATTTTTTTCTTATCAATGACAATAGAAATACCAATTTCCTAACATATTAACATGATTCCAATTCATTTCTAGATCATGTCGACCAGATTACTATCCAAAATAACCATCTTCAATTCAAGTAAATTATTCACATATCCAGCTACAACTATTCGCTACCTGTCTATCTCTCGCCAATCGCCATTATGGAGACAAGTTCAAACGCCCTATTATGCTTGTCTAAATTTTAGCCGAATGAAATCAACCAACGTTGTTGCGAATATCAAACATCCTAGGAAGCAAGCAAAAATCCCTTGGATTCGATATACTTTCCTAACGAGCTTGGCGATCAGCGCTAGCGCTATTGCAGCAGTCAAAATTTTCTACCCTAGGAAATGGCGCAGGTGGTTAATCACTTCGAAAGGCTTTAATCGATTTCGGAGGTGAGCTAAATATAGTTAGATTGGCAAAAATATGCTCTTTTTGAAGATGCTTAATTTCTTAATCGTCAAAGCAAAATCTACTCTACATAATAACGTCTTTTAGTGTTATACTATCTCATCGCCATGACCGGTTCATAAATCAAGATTGATTTTGCTTTCATTTCCACACCTATGATGGCAGTAACACATACGAGTAGAATAACTGTAACAATGCTCTGCCGTTGTCTTTCATCATATCATGATAGTAAATTAATTAATAGAGATTTTGCCTCAGTCATTTTTAATCATACTGATAGCACCATCACAAAAATATGGATAGTAATAGAGTAACAACCGGTTTATGTCCCATGATTTCATCAATTTATTGCATATTCATAGGCACTAATTTGCCTGCCATTCTTACCTATGATTACAAACTTATGAATTCTTGGATAAGGTGATTAAAACTAATCCTTCGGTGTGACTTATTTTGTAGATCAATCGTTGTTGGTTTCACCATATCAGTCTATTACTGGTGGAAATTATTAGGATTAAATCCTGTAAGTAGGCTACGGTATAGACAAGCACCTAGCACAATTTCCTACAGGAATATCATTTATGCAAAAATTGCTTTCATAGACGGACTATCGACTAAGCGAATATCAATACACCACAAAAATTCTACAGGTTACTATGTACAGATTACTCTTCTAATCATGCTCTTTCTTCTAATTTTAAAATAGGATAGCGATGAATATAAGACTGTAATCAAGGATTGCCACAAATATGCTGCTAAAATCATGACTGAAGGTATTCTCCTCAATGGTGGAATTTACGTTAAATTAGGTCAAGGTTTGGCAACCATGAATCATATCCTTCCAAAGGAATATTTACAATCTCTTGAAGTGCTACGTGATAGAGTAAGATAATAGGCATATTAATTTTCGAATCTCTGTAAAGAGTATACTTTGCATAAAAATAGACTTTCCATGGAATTTGTCATTGTACCTAATTACCCATCTGTTTGACTTTTTTTACTGTTGCGCTTGTAGGCATTAACGAGAGGCTATAAAGAGGTAATCTCTCACTCAACTTATTTTGAAACGACTAAAATAATGTTACGAATGCGTCATGTCATCTTTACACGTTATAGAATCAAATAGAAATCCCTTTGCTTCTTTCTACACTTGCTGCTCAGCATTGTCATAATGACTTTACTATTGGCGTGTATATAAAGTACATTAATTGTTAACTCTTACGGCCAAGAAATGATATCGTACTCTGTGTTTGAAATTGCAGGTGGAAGATATGTTTCTTGAAGATTTTAATTTGAAACCGTCTGAAATGTTTGCAAGTTTTGATGACAAGCCAATTGCAGCTGCGAGCTTAGCACAAGTTCATAAAGCTATTACACATCAAGGAGAAGGAGTTGCCGTCAAGGTAAATTGATTGTTCACGCTATTGTTAGCTTGCATACAAGTTAAAAGATATTTTAATATTATTAATTAATTAATTAATTAATTAATTAATGGACTGATAGTAATTGAATATAAAATCTTTGTACATGAATGCACGGTAAAACATTTTATATTCATTTTGCCGTTTATAGATTCAATATATTGATTTAAGGGATAGATTTCGCGGCGATATAACCACGATTCGAATCTTATTAAATGCAATACAATTCATGCATCCCAGCTTTGGATTTTCATGGGTCCTTAGAGTTAGTAGACATTTTATAATTTCGTTAGTGTAAACATATATTTAATTAGTGGTGTTATTTTGGAACTAACCTTACAGGACCTAGAAAAAACACTAGAAAATGAATTAGATTTCGAGCTTGAAGGTGCTAATGGCGAACGTTCAGCTAGAGAATTAAAACACCTTCCATTTGTTCACATACCTCAAGTTTATTGGCAGTATAGCAGTAAAGTAAGTTATCAACATTCAAGTAGCAGTTTTAACTATAATAATTATGTATCATTCTCGTTAAAAATAGTAAGGTATAGCATAATTTTAATTTTACATTTTCTTCAGAGGATATTAACAACTGAATTTATCAATGGTGTCAAATTGAATGATCTTGATAGAATACGCCAAATGGGCCTTGATTTCGCAGACGTAATTGATCTTAACAAAGTTCTACTGTATATATATATAAATTTACCTTACGATTGGTATCATATCTTAGTGCACAAGTATCTAAATTTAGATTTCTAGAAAATTAATTAAAGCATTTGGTACGCAAATTTTCTCCAGTGGATTTGTTCATGCTGATCCTCATCCAGCAAATGGTTAGCCCAAAAGCATGTTATTAATCGTTTATCATTCCCTACTATGATTTCAATGTCTTAATAGCCCATCATATTTTTTAAAAGTATTTATTAGGAAAGGAATTGATCGTAAAGCTGAAATTGTTCTCCTTGATCATGGACTGTATCAAGAATTAGAGCCAACGTCAGTATAATAATAATCTGTACAAGGAGTGACATTCTGTAAAAATGAAGCTAATCAGTAATGGATTCTACACCATTATCTTATATGTACACCAGCGTCAGAACGAACCTTTGTCAGCTTTGGAAATCAGCTATTCTAGGCCACGAAGAAGACATTAAGAAATACTCTTTAGCACTAGGTGTTGAAGGTATTACTCCACTGTAATCTAGCTAATAAAATCATAAACCCAATTTAACATAGCAAGCGCTCTAATCAGTTCGACCTAATTTAATATAATTATGATACCTTTTACTATTGTATTGAATGGATAGACCATCTCAATTTTATTACAATACTTATGATGAGGCCGTATGATCGACCACAAGGAAGCAACCGTATCTCTTTCATTTCAAAGATAACCAAGCAAAACATGAAAAAGATGCGAGATATGTCTAAGAATAACTTTGACAAAATTATGACAATATTGAAAGCCATGCCGACTTCAATGCTATTAGTTTTTAGGTAATGTAAAATATTTGTTAAGGAAGTAGTATTTGGTATGCTAATTATTAAAATTTTTAAGTTATTACTTTAATAATTTCACGAATTCTCGTCTTCCGGTAGAAATCTAAACACTATACGATCCGTTTTGCAAGAATATGGCAATCCTGTTAACAGACATGTTGAGCTAGCTCGATGGTAGGGCTATTGGAAAAATAATGAAATGAATAGTTAATACTATAATGATCTTTTGGTTGCAAAGTATATAATAGGATGAATGTCTAAATAATCGTTATGAATTCTTTTAGTTCAATTGAAGGCCTCAACAGTACATATAATAAAGATAAATCTCTCAAGCAGATGGTACAATCTCAATATCAATTGTTTATGTTTAACGCACAACTCAGGTGATTCTATTTGGAGAATATTGTATGTATGGATGCTATAGTATCACATGTTTTATTACTGAAAAAAAAGTTTCTATTATACGAGTGTATCTGTAACTATGTTTATTGTTTGTCAAATGCTCATTTGATATATTATCACCTCATTGTTGATCTAACCGTAGTCTGCTTATTTGCCAAGTATGCAACTTACTCTAAGTATAGGATTGATTTAAATTTGTTTAAATTATTTTTTATAGATTGGATGACTTTAAACTATGGTTTTTTCGTACCTACCTAAGATTCTTACAATTCATTGGACGAGCACCAAGTGATTTAACACCTCTATTACGAGCTATGTAAATTAATTTTACCTAACACTTACTTATACTTTTTAAAGAAAATTGATATAGAAATAATGGTATACGCGTATGTGCGAGTAGCTGAGTATTTATGGAGGCAGGTATCAAACCTACAGTGGAGGCAATGTTTCTATTAATATAAAATCATAAGAATTCTGTTTTATGCTTTTAATCAACTCTATTTTATAAAAAACTGGAATTTTCTTCCTATTCTATAGATAAATATTTTAATTCTTATTTGTTTTAGCTATTATTTTAACGGTTAAAATTATTCATGCACATAATGCTGTATTACTACAACATTGAAATAAAATTCAATGGTATTTGAAATTTTTTCAATCATTGCCTAAATATACAATCATAACGAAATTTTGGTACAAAATTTTAATTAACCTCAATTTATATGGAAATGTCGTTTTTATTGGTTAATAGATCTTAACAGAATACGCATTAGAATTGACAATTATTGTTAATCATTATTGTTATATACAAATTATTTGATGGACATTGAATGCATTTATATTAGCTAAGAAATCGAGTTAACGAATGACTCAAAATACTTGAATATTATTCCATGAAGATTTTGGATTAATAGAGCTATAATTAGGATTGTATTGAGCCAGTTTAGTTATAAACTCTTAAATTACTGACGAAAAAACACTAACTCATACCATAGCTAATTGTTCATCAATGATACTATTTATTTCGCTGGGAATGATAACTGTATGCTTAATTATCGCTACTACAAATGACTTCTTCCATTTAGGGCTCTGCACAGTCCCACCGTTATATTGATTGTTTCTTGTAATTACAGCTTTAATAAACATCACTGTTGAAGAGCGAGCAATGAACTAATATGCTTTACATATCCAATGTTAATTTCATAATTAAGCAATTTGTCTAAGATTAGTCCAGGTGCTTATAATATAACATGTAATTTTTTCTCCCAAATTTCAATAACGTTATTTAAGAAGCAGAAGAAATACAGCATATAGGCACGTATAGTGAATAATAATAATAAAAAAACTAAACAAGATAAGCAAACGATGAAATTTCACATTATCGGTATTGTTATAGATATAATTAACAACAGGTAAATAATCTAGTTTGTTCATAGTTGTACTACAGTATTAACAATACTTGTCATAGGAATAGGATGATCTATGAAATAGTAACAACAAGCATTTCCGTATAAAGAATAATTATAATCATATCAAATTAATCTATAGTACTCCTTTCATTACAACTGTAATTGATTGTTACATGGGTTTCTTGGCTGCCGTATTTTTTAACTTTATCATTTCCAATTACATTCGCTGCCATGTAATTCATTTAAATCCCCTGTAAGATTTTAGATTAAATTTTAATTACCATAATTAGTGCTTAAGTTACATCAGCTTTGATCTAAATCGATTAATAAAAGAACTTTTTCATCTTAAGGCTAAGTTCACTTACGATACATTAATAATTTTCAAAAATTTATAATAGAACTATTAATAATATTATCTAGTGTAAAATCGAAACTTACCGGTATTTAAAGTGTCATCAATGTTTTTTCTCTACTGGCAAAAAGAGTTTAAACTCTGGAGGCAATTCATCTTCCGAATAGAGACGATCAGAGAAGTACACTCGTCTGATCCGACAATTGGCATGAATCTGAGTTCAATTCAAATCACGTTAGTATTGATAATTAATCGATCACAGTTAAATGTACTTTGTAAATCAAATCTATCAAATAGGCGAAAGAACTTACTTTTACTCTTAGAGTTTCAATGTAATTGGTGCCGTAAGCTCTACGAGTGAAATCTGACAGATTGAACTAAAAGATAAGCAGTAAAGGATGATTAATCAAAAGGACAATTTCCGAAAATATTTCGTATCTTTTTGGTATTAATTTATTGAATTTCAACAAGTATATCACGCGATAATCAGGTCTATAGAAACAGTATACTAGTGAAAATGTTTACTACCTTATAAGGTATTTCAATTTAATGTAGACTTGATATTTCTCTTACCTGAATTTGGTTCCAACCATCGTCCAATCTCATAGGCATTGTACAAATGAAAGGCTTTACTCTAGTTGTTGATTGATAATTTGAAGCTCTAAATCGACGACGAATATTTTTGTCATCTAGTACCTACGGGTATAAAGAAAACGAAGTGTTAACACGATTAAAGATTGAGTGTAATAACTACAGTCTAACACTATTTGTGAATAGATCTTGATGGCAAAATAGAATAGGATTTGGTAACAAATGTTTAGAATTTGAACCCATACATAATACTTTCGATAAACACAAGGTCGTAAAGAGATATAATTTCATATTGCCGTATGCTACTCCATTTAATTAACCCAAAGTAGTTAACAATGGAATTTAAATTCGTTAGATTTATATCAAACCTATTAAAATAAATTTAAATAGGGTTGCATCCATTTTTACATATACTATAAACTAAGAAAAAGCCCATATTTGCACTTTTTGTACTGTACAGGTAAATTATGTTCTAACTTGAGATATATTGTATTCAGTAATTGATATGGGTTTTTTTAATCTCAAGTAGCCTACAAGCAAGAAATAGTTCTATAGGATACCAGGAAAACCCTACATGACGTATGGCTTCTACTGCCGGCGGGGTTAAACTGGCAATTACGTGTACTATTTCAGACCCTGTAAAGAAAATAGTGAACTAACAGCTATTTTGAAACTCAACTGTCGCTGGTTCCTTCTATTTTAATGCCTACCAATTACAAGGTATAACTATTAGACTACAGAGATGTACTACTAGCTGTTACAGTAACTTGTAGATAGCCATAACTACCAACACAGAATAAAGATTTCGTTATCAGCAGTTTAATCTACAAGATTTTTAAAACTGATTGTTTGGATATGAGGTTATACGTTGTATAGATTTATTGTAATGAAAAGTATTAGATAACGATTATGATCCTACAAAATAATGTATTTAGCTAAATTACGATTTAACTATAGCGTAACTATTAGCCTATTACTGCAGTTTTGCCACTATTGCACAAAATGGTTGAAATTGACAGTGTACTTATGGTTCAAAATTGGCTTGCATTAGCCACGTAATTTTTTTTTTTTGAGCACGGTCATCATTACACTTGATCGATCGGTCAGATCGTAGCTTGTTATAGGAAATTTACCTGTACTTCAAAAGTGAAAAATTTGTTCATGTTCTTAATAATCATGACTAAAAAAGGCAATTTGATGCCGAGAAATTTCTTTGAATTTGGAGGAGGACACGTTAGGAATGTTGTACTAGAAAAAAAGGGTAAGAGACATTTGATTAAAATAAATAACATAAACTAAGGATAATCATTTACAAGATGGAAAAGTGTTACTATGCTAGATAATGATTATATCTATGTTGCGTAAAGTAGAGAAGTAAGCTTCTATCAACATAGTGAAGCGACTGTCAGTCAACGTTATCCGAAGGAGAGAAAAAAATCTCCATACCAAACAAACATATAACTCATCTATCTATTATTTTAACATGGAATAAGCAAGACAGAAGCGATTGATGATCAAAAACACTTGAAATTAGCAATAGACTACAGTATTGCTGTGATGATAGACGATGTATCTACGATTAGTAATTCATTTTAGTTTATGAAAATTGTAAAATCGATCCATGTCAACAATAATCCATCTATGTTGATAGTAATCCATTTACCTAACATTAGTGCCAGAAATATCTAAAACTAATGATTGGATATCATCATCAGTTATCCTTTTAATATGTCCGTTTCTGACCTAAAAGAGATGATAATGCATAAAAGTCATGAGAAAAATGTTTCATATCGATCAAAAATGATGAAACGATCGATGATATGAATGTATCTGTCTTGGTTGCCATAGTAGTTTGAATAGTGTCATCGACTAGGAAAAGTAGTCAACGTATAGGAATTGAAATTAGTTGCTAACTAATCAAGTCAATTTACCTGTTTATCCCATAATTGCAAAGGTTTACTACCAATACTGAATAAAATTGATAGAAATCCCGATTGGAAAGTATTCTTGAACATAACTTGTTGTTTGTTGGATAGATTATTTGAAGGAAAAAGTGGAAAAAGTTTGTTACTCAGCAATGGAGGTGATTTGCAACAACCAACCAAACGATGCTACTGCTAATAGCCACAGCGCCTTGTGCAATGTAGTCGATACAAGCAAATGCTAATTGTTTAGATACCAGACTAGCTTGAGAAGGTTATTTAGGCCCAAGCTGTTGCTCTTAATAGCTAATGCGTTGCTGGTTGCTATTCAACAACACGTTGTCAGGCAGAAAATGGAACATTAAACGAAACTGCTTGCCAACACGCTTGCGTACTCTTGACCACCGTTGCTATGGGACTTGGTTGGACATGGCTGACGGATTGAAAAGTTGAATACTAGGCTTTTGTATGAGAACTTGGTGTATGTTTGTGTAGCTTGTCGGCCTTAGAGACGGTGTGTTGTCAACTTGTCGGTTACAGCCTTGACATTGTCACTTTCTATACATAGCATCAGCCAGGACAATGGTAACCCTACTGGATTATACATCTCATGAGGCTGTCTTGATACACGATATGACGTTGCCTAGGGGTAGACTGAGAGTACACACGGGCAGATTACAATAGCCCCCTGGGCTCCTTGACTACTGAGTTCAGTACTAACTGATTGTGGCGCACAAACCGTACCAGGGGCTGGTGGCACCACCATCATTAAAACCCGGTGGTTGACCATGTAAACTCATACATCCAGCCCCTTGCTGCCTAGTGACCATATTAAACTCTCTATCATTCACTCATGTCCTGGACTACTAGGCAGTTAGTGAGCGGACCGTGTTCAAGCTTATGGGGCCCGGGCCCCCGGCCCAGCCCAAAGTTGAACTTGCCATCGGGCGCCAAACACACATGACGTAAGGGGGGTGTAATGAGCCTGCTGTGGAACACCGGTGAACGATACTGTTCATGGTAGACGGGGTGGTTAGCAGAATAGCTAACATGGCTTATTCTTAGTCAAGTCCATTCTGCATTTTCTGAGTATTGTATGGGCGCCACCAAGATGTAAACCTTTCACCATTGCACAGTAGAAACTAGAAACCGTAGCGGTATAAGGAAAAGCTTTGCTTAAGCTTCTTCTCTTTATACCTCGATGGTAAAAAAAAACACAACCCGGAGGGGAATAAAATACTCATGGTCATTTTAAGGGGGCCCTCTCGATGGTGTGTTACTTTAACACACCACTGCCGTATTAGACCCGGGCTCGGTGGTCCTATCCACTCTTATAGAGAAGTAGTCGTGGAACTGAAGCTTTATACAAACATATAGAATGATTAGTAATATTTCAGCACTAGCGTCAATGAGTTTCATAATAACCCTGTCGCAGGATGAATTAGAATGATTGATGGTAGCGTGGAATAGCTCAAAAGCTCCATTTTTGAGCTCATTTTTCTACTCTTCTTCTTGGCGGTGTCCATGATGCTCAAAATGAGATGAAACAACGCTTACATCAATAGAATACAGCAGGTGAAAGTGAATGATTGCGGTAGATCAACATTTCCACGGTCATTCATAGGACAGCTGCTGGCCTTAAATTTGTTTCTTTTACTTTTTTTGTTTACTATGCCGCAAATCTGCAAGTAGAAAACTTGATTCGTTGCCTCTAGAGTAAGAGTAAGCGGCAAAGACAATAGCTAACTGTCTATATACAGATTCGTCATTTTATCATTTACTGTCTTATTACTATGCAATTGCGATAGAATTAATCAATCATCATTGCTTGAAGGAAATAAATATGAAGATGAACCATCACTTATAAAATATTAATATTCAAACCGGACTCCATCCATTCTATTATAATACTCGTATTGTAATTGTATTTTCCCTGAAAGTAAAAAAGCCAAAGGATTAACAATTCGTTCTATCCATTGATCCATAAATAATTAAAGTAATTTATTTATTTACCATCGCGTAAAAGAAGTGGAAACGTTCACCACGATCACCATTCGTATCAATCTCTAATTTTGATACTACGGATCAAATTAATCATACTAGTATTTCAAATTATATTTTAGCCAGATAAGCGTATCAATAAAGTAAGACAGATACATCTAGCCATGCCACTCGTATAGCATTGAATGGATGGCACCGACCACCAAGTGTGGTAGTCTGAAACCATTGTATCGATCAATAAAATAAGCACTTGTCTGATAGCAGACATACAACAGTTTCCTTGTAGTGTAGTACTGACTTGATCGTCTTCGATAGTTCCATTATAACAAGGCGATATACTGTATACCATATAGATATCGAGATGGCTACGCTCTGTTAGCACAGTAAGATCATTACTGTTTAAGGTAGAGCCTCAGGGTACTCGAAACATGACAAGCAGAGATTCTATTGTGCCTATCTAGGCACTACGGGATATAGCACTAATTATAGTCACAAGTATAAGATCTAATGGTCTATTCTACTCTAATAATTATAATCAAATATGTCCTGCATCAAATTAGTTGCATGCCACGCGCTTGACTAAATAAGTGAATGAAAAGATATACGCGTATATTTATTTTCCCATAGCCATCAAAACGACACGTATAAGCTTAAAATTCATACAAATTTAATATTATCCCATGAGTGCAATATACCTAAGCTGTCAAAGTGATGATATTGTGTTGCTTCACTAGAGACGATCAAGAAATCTCCCAAAAAGCATCATTTCTATGGTGTATTTTAAATATAAATATAATCTATACTTATACTATCCTATTGCGGGGGAGGGGGGAAATACCGACTAAAGTTGATTCAATTCCAACGGTAGAAAGAAGATTTTCATGTGCCTTAACTACGGTCATGGAACTGCCAACGGTTGCCATGCCAACTAATTTGCATTAAACTGAAAGGGACAAAATGCTCATACAATCATATACTGGTACTTAATATGCTTCAAAGCTATATATCTATTTTACGTTTTGATTTTTTGAAAAACAGAATAGCGGTATTGCTATCATGATGAAGAAGGAAAACAATACTACTCTACTGTTGTTATTGGTATATGAGCTAGTATTACACTATTTATAACCATGGGTACACTGAATAAACAATGTGATAGAAAGGATAGTCTTTTCAATGCTAGTTAAATAGGTTTTTCTTGCCGGTTGCCGTGGAGATTTTAAATAAATAGTGGGATAATATAATGCTTGATTATTCTATATTGTCAACATAACATGAACTTTTCTGAAATAGACTACATTACGTTATTTAGAAGGATAATTCTAGAATGATTAGAATTAAAATTTTAAAGCCTTGGTTGTATTGGTGGCAGATTTTATACAAGTTGAACGAGTAGCCTACAGTAACTTAAAATATTTCTCAATTTGACCATTTACACCTCGATTCCTAGCTTATAGCTGACGTGATAATTATCCAAGAAACAATCAATCGACAGTTGTTTCAGTTTTCTGCTTAGCATGGATTACAGCTAGACGTGGCCACATTTTTAGGGGAAAATAACATTTCCCTTCGTCGATACATTCATCCATTAGTATAATATCTACTTAACAGATTGCCGATAAAGACAATAAAGACAAGAATTGTAAGTCCATGATTGGTAGAAATTTATTTTAAACTTTAGAATTAATTGTATTTTATCTTACGTAATCGTAGATCTATGTTATCTATTATTCGTCGAAATAAAATATTCATTTTAATACAATCGATTGATTGATTGTATTAACGCTCACAACTATGTGCCAATATCATAACACTGATTGTCACTTTAGCGTTTACTTTCTGACGTGGTCTTATATGACGTAACTGAGAGATACTTTATACCATTTCACTATCGTGGTATGTTTAATTGTTACCTCTAGATATTACATCACTGTGTATACTATGCGAGAGATTTTGATCGTTTCTAATTATAAATCGGCAAAAGAATCGATTTGAATATAATTAGACTCTACTTTATAAATATTGTCCTAAAAATGAACAGTACTATCATTTGTGGCAGAAACAGGTGAATAATATCCAAGATGCTTGAATATATAGACAGTAGATTTAACATTGGAAATTATTATCGAAGAATTAAGTTATCAATTTCTAACATCAATAGGAATATAATATTCCCAACATGTTTGCATTTTTTGTTAAAGTACTACATGAAATCTATAGTGATTAGCTACATAATATTAAAGACGTAGCATGTATAGACTCTCAAAATGTCTATTTTATGGCAGGTGCTTTTTATTTCATTTTTCTTTTACAATGGTAAATAAATAATGACGGCACTAAGCATAGATATTTTAGCTGAGTAAGGTCACAATTATTTAATTTCAAATAATTTTCGTCGATTTGACCCTATAATAGCACAAAATTTCGTTATCGGGTGTAAAATTGACGAAAATTATTTTATTCACTGTATTATAATATTTGATTAGCATTTGAACTATTTCGCAGTTCTCTGTGATGGTAAAGAATTAGCAAATTTACAAACATGCAGGTAAAATATTGTCAACACTTCAATAAAATATAGTATGCACGTAAAAATTGCAATTTGGTGCTGAAGTGAAATATTGTCGAACCTTGATCAAAATATAGGATGTACATAAAAATTGCGATTTAATACTGAAGCAAAATATTGTCAATTCTTCAACAACAAGCAGCAAGTTTGTAGAAGTTATGATTTGGTGCTAACGTCTCTGATATTGAGTTGTTCTGTTTATTTGTTGAATACCGCCAGTATTATACTATAATTTATTGTATACTTTGAGATTAAATAATTATAAATGTATTATTACTGCGATAATATATGACGGTAATTAATAAAAGTACTGATCTACTGTATGTATACTGATAATATATGCATAACATGATGCGTTTTGCAGTATATAGTATAGAATCATGGATTATGGATATCTTTCAACTAATCTTAGTTATAATAACTACCATAAATTATGCATTGCTGACAAGCTAAAAATAGCTCACATTGATCTTTGCTACAATAAATGCCGAGCTGTGAATTACTTATGCTACGGAAAAACCGCATATTGCTTACATACAGTCTCTCTAAGATACAAATAATCTACTTTATGTTTAATCCCCCACAACAGACTATGTCCTGTCATATGTGTACGTACTATATATATAATAGCTATCGTATCTTAAGGTCTAATAATCTTAGATATTAATATTGAAAATATGTACATAATATACACATATTATATGTTTACAAGTATCGCATCTTAAGTAGCGAAGTTCTAATAATGTTGGATATCGATACTGAAAATACCTGAAGAATCTAATTATAATTATCCGTAAAATTATCATACATCTTCGAAATAATGGTATGTAGAGTAGCTTATTTTGTAGCTTTGATCTAAGTAATGATAACAATTAGTTATGAAAGGAAATTTTGACTACCAATTTATTTATGCAATTTAGAGGAGATTGATAATTGCAATATCTTTACCTATCTGTCATATACAAATATTATAGTATTCAATCCTACGATACAGTAGATTGCTACTCCATTATTTAAAGACATCAGTTTATATTAAATTAAGTTTATTGGCTATTAATTCGTAAATAAAGAGTGGTAAAAGCTTGAACAACATTTCAAAATTTCAACATAATTACCATAGGTCACAGTAGATATACCAGTACAACGACAATTACATGATTTTAGATATTCAATTGCTTTGAAAGATGATAAGCACAATAGTAATAAATTTTACTAATTCTTCATCGTGTAACAAATACAACAAAAAATAGTTAAACAAACTGGTCTACCAATTTGGACGACATGGTTTATCTGTTAGGGGGGGCTGAAGATGTTCTTCATAGGGTGGTAAATAAGCTAATTCACTTTTTACTTTTTCAACTTTTTTCATGACACGTAAAAGATTTCCTTGTGCAATTTTCCCCAATTCTTCTTCTGTATAACCCCTTCTAACCAATTCAGCAAACAATGTCGGGTAAGTTGAAACATCTTCCAAGCCGGTGGGTACACTAATAAAGTTAAATTAAAAGATTCGTAGAATAAAAAATGTTTAGACTATTTAAGCCATCTCCATGTACCATTTTAATAATCTTGATTATACTAATAAAATTGAAAAGACTGATAGAAAAAAGCAACATCTAGAATATATAAAGCCATCTCAATGCACAATTTTGATTGACTTTGATACCAGTTTATAGTAGGGTATGTTTAAAGATTTTACTGTTCATTACTGTTTAGATAGTCGGCAACTTTATGAGTGAATTTCTGTGAGATATAGTTAGATTTTCATGCAGAGTCATGGGATATAAGTTCAAGGTTGTTATTTATCGTTTTGTAACCATACTAGAGCTAGCTATCCATATTTGATTATTAGCTATCTTTTGTTACTAGTCTGAAATATCATTCTATAGATTTTTATGATATAAAGTATCGGTTCAATTTAAATCATCTATTTTTTTTCCTCAAATTCAAAATTTACTTACTATGATACGCCATCATAATCAGCTCCCATACCAATATAATCAACTCCAATCAAATTCTTGATATAGTCAATATTGTCTATAGTAGTAAAATTGATCAAAGTTGTTAGCAACAAATAATAAATCAAGGATATTCTTTGTTCAATCTCTATACTATTCAATGTCTATTATCCCTACCAGCAACAAGGTTGACATCGCAAAAATCGGAGCAATTTACAAATCTGTTGTAGAAGTTGATCATGACGACAGCATCAGTTTGAGGCTAGAAGTGGAAAGGTTATTTAGTATATCTCAATTACATCAAGCAATACCAAGCATTTTAAAATCCTACTAAATCATATTTTGATATGAATTTATTGCAAATCTGATTTTTACCAGCATTTTTAAGACATCATCAGGTACGTTACGAACATGAACACAGGTTGCTTCCGCCGATGAATGGCTAAAGATAACTATAACAACATTTTTCTATTAATCACCAGTAAGGTAGGCTTATGGCTACGAAAACTTACTATAATAGCTGAGAGTATTGACTTAAACTGAATTAGTATCTATATAACAGAATATCTTACGTTATGCCCGTAATAATTTTAATTTGACCTCATCCGAATCAAATAATACCTGGTGCTTTAGTAAGTTTTAAGACATCCTTCATCGTGTCTGTATGGACATGAGAAATATCTACCATCATACCAAGTCTGTTCATTTCTCTAATAACATACTAGATCATGTTTTCAAAGAAAAGGATTAATGAAATGATGGTAAAACACATTATCCTATAGCTTAATTATTATACAGATATATACGTCTACACTTTTTCTATTATCCATAGTTGTATTAAAAAAGAGTCATACTTCTCCAAAAGTATTAAGTCCTTTTCCTGGGTATGCCCAAGGAGAGCTATCACAGCATGCTCTAGCCCTAAATAAGAGAAGAACAAAAATTGTACATGTGGTACTACAACATCGTTTTGAAACAATTTCCATAAGGAGAAGTTTGTATACTTTAGTCATGGCATCCATTTTCATTTTAAAATCTATTTTATACTGCATTGCAGTACAAATTGTAGAATTTATTAATGGCTCAACTTCTATTCACTTTAATGCAATCAGTCATTAATCTAACCTCAGACGCAGTAATTTGTCTGTAATGGTTGAATTTGTACACTAAGTATGCAATTTTAATTTTCAAAGTTTTCTATACTACACTGAAAACAAATTGTAGAGTGTGAAATACCACTTGATGAATTGGTTTCTATTTAATTAGCCAGTTAGAAGCCTTATCTTAGACAATTTATTCACTGTAGCCGTAATTTTAAACGCATTCCTACCGTATTAGAATACAAATTGTAAATATAAAATAGCTTTTAAAGACTATCCATACATTGTCTAAGTCCATGCAAATAAACAGTCTACTCGAAAATGCAAAGTGTAGCTCTAAATTTATCTTGAACTTACCATGGAGTATTGCAGTTATGTGTTACAGTCATGTAACGAACTCCAAGATCATAAAGTTGTCGGAGTGCAGCCAAGCTACTAGCAATCATATGGCCACCCTCTAAACCAATCAAGGAAGCAATTTTACCGTTTTTTAGGGATGATTCGATATCGGCTGCAGTTAGTGCAAATTGGAAGGTGTTGGGGTATTGATTGACAAAGCGATGGATAACATCTACTTGTTGGAAAGCTGCACGAATGGAATCTTTATATTGAGTATTACAACTGGTATAAGCAGCCCAAAACTAATCATATTGAAATGATGGATATTCATTAGTAAGACGGGGGCTATCTATCATTAAATCAAAACGCTATCCTATGTATTTTTTTAGCTTCAGTAGTGATTAGTACTTTAAAGATACACTTTAATTCAGTAAGGATCATTCTTACCTGTCCACCAACATGGCCCTTTCGTAATCTGGGGATATCAGTATGAATAGCAGGATAACTCGCTTGGATATTTAATTTTTCTACTTGGTTGCGAACAATTTTACGATATTGGTAAGGTAAATCGTTGTGCCTGTACGAGTGAATGAAGCAAAATAATAAATTTACTAAATTTGTGGATTGATACTTTCTATAGTATATCTGCTATATTGGCAGTTGCAAAACTAAGGGAGAATCTATGCCTGTACGAGTAAATCAAGCAAAATGTGAATTTATAAAATTTGCGGATTGATATTTTCTATATTACATCGACTACGTCTGCAATTGCAAGATAAGCGAAGATCTATTAAATTAAAGTTCCAATATTTATGAATTATACTAATATTGTATAACTTTATTCCAATATCTGTCGAAATCGATCAGTAGTTTTACCGATGCTATAGTGAAGTCATTCACTTTGTATCATCTACAGTAGTTTTGGAAATACTAGCGCTATGTTATTTTATCCAATATTTGTCAAATCCAATCTACAGTTTTACCAACGCCATAGTCCTTTACCTTACATCGTCTACGGTAGTTCTGGAATATACTAATTCTATGTCATTTTATCCAATATCTGTCAAAATTAATCCGCAGTTTTGCCAATGCCATAGTGACGTTCTTAACTTGTTATCATCTACAGTAGTTCTAAAAGTGCAGATACTACACCATTTTATCCAATATCTGTCAAAATTGATCTACAGTTTTATCAATACCATAGTGAAGTTCTTCACTTTGCCATTATCTACGGTAGTTATGGAAATATTATGCATTCGATCTAATATCTGTCAACATCGATCTATATACACGGCCACAATATCATCCTCCAATGCAAGTACAATCAATAAATTATCACAAGGAGGACTCATTACAGTATCATGGAATGTACTATCATTAGACTGCTCTTTGAAGACTAATGGGAACCAATTTTACGGCTTTATCCTTCTATGATGAATCAATTACTACATAGAAGATGAATTATCATTAGGCTACTCTTGGAAGGCTAGCATAGAAGATTAATTACATGTAGAATATTCTTGACAGATACCTACTCATGATGAATCAATTACCGCGTGAAAGACTAATTATATTATCATATCATCTATTAGACTGCTCTTTGATGAGTAATATGATGAATAAACTTGCGGCTTTTCTGCATCCATGATGAATAATTAATCAATTACTACATAGAAGAGGAGCTATCACGTCATTCACGAATCGATAGTCTGCTCTTTACGATTAATAATATTCAGGCATGATCCTTACCCATCAATAACGGGAAACTTGGTCAAGATTTCGTTGGCCCTTTGTAAATCTTGAGCTGATGCTCTCTTAAATTCAGGAAGAGCCACAACAAGAAGTAATGCAGTTACAATGATCAATTTCATGGTTGGTTACGAATAGCAATTTCCACTACTTCCTATAGAAAAAATAAATTGCATTATTCATTATCGACATGTTATGCTGATCAATTAATCTCCTCGCATTAACTTATTACGTTAATTAGAAGTTAGAATGATGATGGATCAAGACGTCCAAGAGTGCACAACATGGGATCCCTTTTTTACTACGCTTTTGCTCTTTTGCTACAGTATTTTACGGAATAGATGATTATCGATAGCCATTTCATCTACTATGGATTTTAAGGAAATTAAGGGATGTATTGGTGGAGCGATAGCAAACAGCTGAATTAGAATCACTTTACCGCAATAAAGATAAACAACAATCTGCCGTATTTGCTCATTAAAAATGCACTACGAGATAAGTTTACATTTGACAAAAATCAACTAACAATCACCTAAATATCAACTGATCGTTTTTTTCTGTACACTAAGAATATACTACAAAATTAGTTTTGCTTTGACTAAAACCATTCCAAGCAAGTCATTCAAATCATGTCATGAAAACAAACTGATTGTCTTTATAATCTATGAAAAATGGACTACAAGATTCATTTCCCTTGTGCTAAAAATCACCGTAACTAGCTCGATTGAAGTTAAGAGTTAATTATTTTAACTAGCTAAAACTTTTTGCAACAGCACATGTCTAAAAGTCAAGGAAAAGCTACCCTTATTTCTATATGACTAATTTTACCTCGGACTCAATAGATTGCAATCTGCTTCATTTAAGGCAAATTACACTATTTTCCGCTTTTCACCGACTATAATCCACTAAAATGAATCCTCTAAGCTACACGGTAATCTTGGTCATTGACGCCAAAGAAAAAGGCGGCGTAAGATTTTTATTTTTATCCTGTCTCCTATTTGACTTCTTGACGTAGTAGTAAACTACTTTACCCTTTCTACTGACTGAAATCGATTCGGGTCAAGAAATTTAGATTGAAAAACAAATCTAAGCAAAACCATTGCAATCAGCTGAACTAAACGGCATATCCTAAAGACGAAAAGTACACGTATAGTGTAAGATTATAGTTATCCTGTGGACTCTGATATGTCCAGTAGTAAACTACTTTACACTTTCCATTAACTGAAATCTACTTGGCCACGGATAAAGAACTTAGATTGCAAACACGAATTCAACTAAAACGATTACAATCAGCTAAACTAAATGGCCGATCGTAAAGGCCAACTAAAAATATAGCCTACGATCACTATTATTCCTTTGACTATTGCATATGTCCAATAGACGCTAGAAATAGCGATTCCTGTTTGAAGCTAGTCTACGACAAAGAGAGGAATCTAAGTGACAAAGCAGGAATGGTATAGAATAACGAAGGAAAGAATCCTTCCCTATCATCGTCTACTACAAGAAGGAGTTTTACTCCATTTTTCACTTGAAGTGGATATACTGAACGATAGAGTGAACAAGCTAAGCAGAGATACTGAAGAAAGACTTACTACAAACTCTATTCTTATTCTAGTAGAATTCTATCTCAAGAAATAGCGTTTCAAAATATTAACTTGATATAGTCAACTTACTTGAATATCCAAAAGGATGGTTGTTCAACTACGACAAGACAACGGAGAGTTTTTCAAAATCAACGTTGCGACTCCTTGAAAGAGGAATGACAGTTGAAAAGGAGTTTAAGTCGATAATTACCCAGCCCTCAAGATAGAATGATAGGCATCACCGTAAGGATAATAATAACAACTCCATCTCCCATGCGATAATAAAAAAATATTTATTATCAATTCAAATAAAAGAAGAAGAGGTGCATGTGCTATGGTATATTATAATAACACATTGCTTTTAATGCAGTCATGATAGGAAAAGAATTCAAATAATAGAAGAAGATGCGATCAGCGGTGCATTGGCTTTTAACCAATGCTATAATATAATAGCACTTTACTTTCAATGCAGTCCATGATAGGAAAAGAAAATGTAGTTATTTGAATTGATTGCAACAGTCCTGATCCTGTAGTCTTGCTATTGGTGTTGTTTTCATGATTGGCGCTAATTATTTCAGTATCCAATAAATCCTTTCGTTCTCACGATTGAATTATTAATTGTAAACAAGTTTTTGTACTTTCGACTCATTACCTGAGGGATATTGATTTATCTGCCCATAATCCTTAGCCATATTGCAAATGGAAGAATTTTGCAAAGTCATGGCAAGAAAGCAAAATGTTTTCAGATTGACGGCAGTTTAAGAGGAGATATCGAAGAGAAATGGAATAGTGGCTGATGCTTAACGTTATTGTAGTAGAAAAGCAAATCGCTTATGGCAATTGAGCCATAAACTAGTTCATTTAAAATAGCTCAATCGATTTGCACCATCCTCCTTTGAGGATAGTAGATAGCTCATCTACTTTACTACGAGATTTAGCAATATCAAAAGGTGGATGAAAACTCCTCATTCTCTCATCTAGGAGGCGGTAACTTGAGTTTTTAGCATGAGTAAGCATCAGTTAGTTAATCAATATTGATGTTAGGATAGATAACTTGAATTCCTTTTCATTTTGATTGCCTAAGCAGCCTCCAACAGAGAGGTGGGCTGAGATGTAAAAGTATTTGCATGGCGTAAAAACAGACCAAATCCGTTCAAGGGTTAACAAAGAAAATGCAAATTGTTGATCTCAAACATCTAAAGTATACGTTATATATTGTAGTATTGTAAGCTGTCCTCATATCGATTTAACGGATTGATTGCACCGTTTCATCAATTAATTATTTAATAAGCCGATGATCGTTTACCCTCTTTTGCCTCGACTCAATATGAGCAAAACTACAAGGGTTAAATGAGGAAGAATTCATCAATAAAGTTTAAATTAGGCGTTGTCAATTTAATAAAGTTTGCATCCATTTCCTTCAACATGTTACTCTGAATAGCAGGACTTTTATTAATGGCTCCAACTCCGCCCTTTAAAATAATAAATTAAGCAAGCTATAATATGAGCCAATCTGATCATGTAGAGGATTTGAAAATGGTCATTTTATTTTTGCAACGACTTGTGAACAGCAATCGCTTTTATCCATCAAGATAGAGTAACAGTAATGTGCTTCTATCAATAAGCATCTTGATGATGGACATACAATGTAAAATCAATAATCATCATTCGCCTCTTAATTAATCAAGGAATGCCAGCAGCGAAGAATAGCAATAACTAAATATTGATAAAGTGGCGCGGCATAGCACACCGTAGGCTGGACTAGAACACCTTTGCTCAGCGATGGTCATCTTCCTGCTGAAATCGTCATGGCTTCAAAATTGATCGTCATTTTTAAGGAGGATCTTGAGGTTGGCCCTTGGCACGTTGCATAAAATGCAATTCGGGCTTTAATTATTTGACTTTATTGAAGTTTTCTGTACATACCCTAGCAGAGATCAAGAGAACAGGCAAAGTAAAAGAAGCGCAGTAGAGCAACATAGTGGTGTAGACCACTCATCGAGTGTGATCGTGTAAAGTAATGCCAAAGAAGTCTTCGGACTCTTCTTTATTTTACGGATCGTTTTCTATCATAGCAGTGTCGTGCTATACAGAGATTTAAGTTTACTAAATTGTTAGGCAAAGTATTTTGATAATATAATATATGGATAATAATTTGTAATCTGTGGTTATAACTTATATCGATTATAATTGTATTTATTAGCCATGAACATTACGGTTCAGACTTTAGTATATTTATGTCATGATACACATATTGTAATGATTAATTTATTGGCGACGGGCTGACGCAATCTATGCAAGTCTTCTGATTATTTATTATTTTTACCTTCCAATGTGAAAAAAATTGCCATGGTCTATTGTCGATGTGTCAATAATGATTTTTGTATAATTGTGACTTAAAAAAAATTAAAATTACCCCGGCATGATTGATGGAAAGCCTAGGTGCGAGACTACTACTGGACCACCAGTCTTCCTTTAGGACAAGATGGCGTTATTCCATTTATTTTTAAGTAGGATTGATCCATTTCTTTCCTACAAAAATGGAAATATTAATTGCACCATTTCTGTCCATGAATTATCCAAGGATCAGGCATGATTTTAACTGTCTTTCCATGATGATAGAGAGAATTATCATGGCCATATACTTGGATACTACTGTATGTTTTCAAATGATGGAGTTTTGTTGATCATCCACTTGTTGTATCGAGTGTTGTATGACTTTAACCCATGGGGTAAACTTAGGGATTACTCGTAGCGGATAGACGATGATCGTCCAATTACTTGCTGATGTATGCGGTAGCTATTTAATTGGCCAAATTAGATCGGCTAGGATATCATTCAAGATTTCAAAATATTCTCGCAATCAGTAGTATCAAAATGTTCAATACAAATCAATAGAGACTACTCTAAAAAAATTCTCTCGCTTTACAAGTATTCGTTTTAATTAGCTTAATTGATGAAGTAAGTAGGAGGTGATAAACATTCTCATGATAATCCAAAACAGTCAGCAAGACAAGCACGATAGCGCAATCATTTCTTTACTCTAGAGAACTACTCCGTCTATTCTGGTCGCCATGACAGTTAAAAGCCTCAGATAGTTGGAAAATGAGGGATAATCATTCATAATGAAAGCAATCATTTCATTCCTCTAGCATAGACTTCTAGATACCCTCTCTAGATATCTACAAGTCCATGGTCTAGCTCAATCATGTTGATCGTTCAAAATATGCTAGTACACATCGTTACTAATGTCTGTCAACCATAGCATATTCCTCTCCCTATTCAATCATTTCGACAGTACTTTCAAAAGTGTTCTAGTTTATGTATGCTGTACATGCATCGTTATGAATATCTGTCATCAAAATAAGACGATCATAACAGTGCAATCATTTCATTCCTCTTTGCTTTTGTGCCCTCAACTTTTTTATTATTGTTGTTGAATTTTTCCTAAAAGACTCAATTAAAAGAGCTGCAAGGCGGAAAGTTTGTATCCGCCCCAAGTCCGTTGAATGTTTCCACATTTGCCAAAGGAATAGTTC